GCAAACTGCAAAATGTCATCTCCATCTCCCCCTATGTGTCAACTCCAACGCCTTCCATCTCTCCTATATATACCCTCGCCATTTCTATCAATTCCTCTAAGCTTTCTTCTACATACACAAGCTAATTAAGGTAACAAACATGGCGAGATCTTCTGCTTGGCTTTCGCTCTCCCTCAGCTTTCTCGTGCTCTTCAATGGCTGCTTGGGCCGGCAGAGCTTCCATGGGGAGCAGAGCCAGAACAACGAGTGCCAGCTCAGCGACATCCACCCCCTCGACCTCACCCGCTTCATCCCGTCGGAGGCTGGCTATACCGAGTTCTGGGACCCCGACAATGAGCAGTTCAAGTGCGGCGGCGCCCTTGCCTTCCGCCACACCATTTGGCGCAATGGCCTTCTCTTGCCTTCTTACACCAACGCCCCCCTAGTCACCTACGTCCTTCAAGGAACGTTTTTTTTTTTTTTTTTTTGGTTTTAAATTATGTTATTTGCTATTAATTAATCTGAGGAGTTGATTTGGACTGACATATGTTGGGTATTTTTTTGGCAGGGTCGGGAATTTTTGGTGGCATCTTTCCCGGCTGCGCAGAGACGTACCAGGAGTCGTTGGGAGATGGGTTCCTTGACAAGCACCAAAAGATTGGAAGCTACAAACAAGGCGACATTATTGTCCTCCCTGAGGGCGCAGTTCACTGGCTCTACAACAACGGCGAAGAAGACACTGTCCTGGTTGTTCTTCAGCACACCTCAAACGATGCTAACCAGCTTGACGATAATCCTCTCGTACGTAACAACAAATTTAACCTATTATTAGCGTCGGCCACTACTGAAAATTATAGAATTTTCGACCACCTAAAAGTAATATTAAATCAAGTTCAAACAAAAAGTGATCAAAAATAGCAACAAAGGTTTTTCTAGATACTAAAAGTGGTCGGAACACTACTGAAAATAATAGAATTTCCGACCACCTGAAAGTGATCTTAAATCAAGTCGAAAGCAAAGAGTGGTCGGAAATAGCAATAAAGGTTTTTCCAGATACCAAAAGTGGTCGGAATAAGATTTTTGACTCGATTTAAGATCACTTTGAGGTGATCAAAAATTTCATAATTTCCAGTAGTAAAACAAGACTCATTTCATAATTTCCAGAGCTATGAATAAGTTAGAATAAATTGGTTTTCTTTATCAGAAAAAAATTCTGGAATATTGGCTGATTATTATGGTTTGTTTTGCTTACAGAGGTTCTTCCTCGCCGGAAAACCGCTACTAAACCCGGGAAGCAGCCATCAAGGACAACGTGAGCAAGGACAACGTGAACAGGGACAGCAACAGCACGGCGGGCAACGACAAGAGTTGATGACGGAGAGGGAGACAAAAGAGTTCGGATACGGCGGTAACATTCTGGCCGGATTCGATGTCCAGATCGTGAAGGACGCACTGAACACGGACAGGAAGACGGCGGAGAAGATCATGGGAGGAAAGGGTAGAGGACACATCGTAAATGTGGACCCTATTCTTCTTCAGTCGATCGTGCCATCATCACCGTCAAGATCGGAGAAACGCCGCCAACCCGGCCGACAAGGAGGAGGATCATCCAACGCCCTCGAGGAAACCGTCTGCACCGCCAGATTTAGCCAGAACATCGACAACCCTGAAAGAGCCGACATCTACGACCCTCAGGCCGGCCGCCTCACCACCCTCAACAGCTTTACCCTCCCCGCCTTAAGCTACGTCCGCCTCAGCGCCGCCCGCGGATTCCTCAATAAGGTAATCTAGACTAGGCTGATTTTACCTGCACGGGTTTAGCTCAATGGTTTAGTGGGCAATATTTGGGATAAGAGACTAAGATTTGAATTTCAGTGGCGACAGTGTGAGAATTATGTCTAAAATGAACAGATTTCTTGTGCGCACCGGGCATTTGACCCTTACATGTTCAAAGTGAGTAGATTTCTTGTGCGCACCTGCATTTGACCCTTAAGGTTGGAGAATCAGCCTTTTGGGGCGGATCCAGATCATATCTGGATTTACTCGCACTCAAATCAAAATACTTCTGCTATAGTTACAATTCAATAATCTTTTAATTGTGTGCAGAACTGGGGACTGGTACCACAATGGTCCATGAACGCGCATAGCTTCCTCTACGTGACAAAGGGCAGCGCACTAATCCAGATCGTGAACCAGAGAGGAGAAACCATCCTAAACGAGCAAGTCCGAGAAGAGCAACTGTTCCTCGTACCGCAGAACTTCGCTGTGGTGAAACAAGCCGGAGACGAAGGGTTCGAGTGGGTGGAATTCAGCACCAATGAAAACGCCATGTACAACACCTTCAGCGGCCGCGCCTCCACTCTCGCCGGGATGCCGGCGGACATTATAGCCGCTTCTTACGACCTATCCGAATCCCAGGCTCAGAACCTGAAGGAAAACATGACTTCCCTGTGGTTTTACCAGGCTTCTCCCGACAGCAGCTCACGGTCATCATCATCTTCCGGCCGATCTGCTTTCATATAAGAGCTTCCCTTCCGGATCGGAAAACATCTATCGGAATTCAATAAACCTAGTACGAGTATGGATCGGAGCGGCATGCAATTATGGATTTTAGAATAAGACAGGAAACTGTATTGTTCCTCCCTCCTAACTATGTCTACAAATAATTAAATAAATAAAATGCTGCGTTCCTGCACGTACTATATCTTCTCTCTTAGCTTGCATGTGTTATTATTATTTTTTTGAGATAAGAGTCAAATAAGCTCTCCAAATATAAGTCAAAATGTAAACAACAACTAATATCATGGAAAATTAAAGCTACAAAGCTCTCTGAGTGTACCACCCTCAATCCCCTGAGAACAACATTTTAGATTTGTACACTCACCATGCTTCTTTTTTGCTACAACAAAAAATTGACGACGTTGTCGGGGAATGTCAATTTAGTGGTTTTATGTGATTACTTGTTTGATTAGCATTGGAGTTTAGGAAATTTTAGGAGACTAAGTTTTTATTTTTCGTTTTGTTTATTTGTGTTGTGATTAAGTGCTTACAAGTCTTTATCATTAAGTTTGTTTGAAAGAGATTTTCCAAGATAGACATGATATTACAATTCTCAATCCTATGGCGGCTATGGAGACTACATGCCTCAACAAGGATACTAAAATGCCACATCCATTAGTACGTCCTTGACTCCTTGTACATCTCAAGCCCCACCTCCAAACAATTACCACGGTGCTCAATTTCAAAATCTTTATCCACCACATTCCTACCAAGACCAATTTTACTTTTCCCAACCTTCGCCAGACCAAAATTTCTTCCCACAAGACTTTAATCCGCCACAATATCCTTACTCACCACAAGACTACTCTCCAAATTCATATCTTTCACCCCCTCAATACTCATCATATCCACAAGACACTCAACCCCAAATTGAATATCTATATCAAAACCATTCACCAAGTGTGGGGAACTATGGGATAGATGAGGAGGTGTTGGAACCACAATCAAACCAACCCTTTGATGATGAGACAAGAGCTATGATGATTAACTTGATGAACCAAATGAACTTGTTACAAGTTCAAATTGATAATCTTGTAGCTCAAAGACAAAGCTTGGAAACTCAAGAACTTATTCAAAATTCATTTCCTTATGAAGAGGTTCTAGATGAGTTGTTTGTGCCAAGTGAGGGAGGTGATGAAGAGGAGAGTGAGGATGAAGATGATGATGATGAGGAAGTGGATGAGGAAATTGAAATGGAACCTTTAAATTTGAAAGAAGGTGTGGAGTTGCATGGGAATGGTGGTAAGGAGGAAGTTGAAATGGGGGCAATGAGCAACTCCAAAATGTCATGTTGGAAGAGGAGGTGTTGAAGGAGAATGAGATTGATGGAATGCATAAAGTAAATGAGGAAACTCCTTCAATTGATGAAAACTCCTTTGGTAAGAATTTTTCAAGAGTTTGGGAATCAGAAGGTGTTAATGTTCTTGAAAATGAAGGTCCACATTAGCCAATTTTCATGTCCAAGGATTCTTCTTTCTTATTAGCCCATGAAAATGACCAAGATTCTACCAACTTGCCAAAGATGAAGAAAATGAAAAACAGGAGAAAAGTGGAGATCAAGAAAAGGATCAAGCTCATGGCTATTATCTTGATCTAAAGTTTAGAAAGAAATCATTGGTTGATTTATGGATCAAGAATGGACTTGAGGAAAGAGGCATGGAGCTTGTAATGAAGAATGAGATAATTCTAGCAATTGGTGTGGTGAACTTGAGCTTCAGGGAGTTTATTGATGGCCACCACTTGAAAAAATATTTGGAGTTACTATACGTTGTAGAGAAGCACTCAACGCGTCGAGAATTGCGAGAAATGATCAGTTTGCGTACTGTAAATGTTCGACGTGTCGAGCCCCCTGCCTCTGCTCCTTTTTAGCTGAGTTTTCACTCATTTTTACATGGTTTTGGACCTTGTTCCAACACTAGACATTTCCTTTCACTTCCTTTCATATTTTAGTGTTAGATTAGGCTTAGATTTAGGTTCCACAACATATTTCAAGCTTGTAATCAAGGATTCAACACTTGAATTTTAAGATTCTACCATCAAATTTCAATAGAAAAGCTTTTTTTCCCTTATCTCTTTCTTTTGCAAGATTTATGTTTAATGGTTGTGCTTTTGTGTTTTTTATGCTATTTAATTATGAGTAGTTAGTTTATGGACTTGAGTTAGGATTGTACTATCTATCTTGATGCTTAATACATATATGGATACATACACTTACAAACAAATGGATGAGCTAGCTTATCTAGCTGTACTATACTGCATGCTGCAATGTATATATTCTCAGAGGTATTTAATTAGCCACGCACGTAGGCATATATGCATGCATGCAACAATGAGGTGTAACGCATGCAATTGAAGAGAGTTTTGATGGGCATGCAAAGTGCAAAATGTCATCTCCCTCTCCCCCTATGTGTCAACTCCAACGCCTTCCATCTCTCCTATATATATACCGCGTTTTCCCCTAGCCACTTCTCACCATCACATCTCCATTCCGATCAATTCCTCTAAGCTTTCTTCTACACAAGCTAATTAAGGTAACAAACATGGCGAGATCTTCTGCTTGGCTTTCGCTCTCCCTCAGCTTTCTCGTGCTCTTCAATGGCTGCTTTGGGCGGCAGAGCTTCCAGCAGCAGAGCCAGAACAACGAGTGCCAGCTGAGCCACATCAACGCCCTGGAGCCCACCAGCGCCATCCCGGCGGAGGGCGGCTGGACCGAGTTCTGGGACCCCAACGATGAGCAGTTCCAGTGCGGCGGCGCCCTTGCCTTCCGCCACACCATTTGGCCCAAAAGCCTCCTCTTGCCTTCCTACACCAACGCCCCCCTCGTCGCCTATGTCCTTAAAGGAACGTTTTTTTTTAAAAAAAAAAAATTAAATTATTTGCTATTAATCTGAGGAGTTGATTTATTGGACTGACATATGTTGGGTATTTTCAACAGGGGCGGGAGTTTTTGGTATCGTGGTTCCCGGCTGCGCAGAGACGTACCAGCAGTCGTTGGAAGATGGGTTCCTTGACAAGCACCAAAAGATTGGAAGCTACAAACAAGGCGACATTATTGTCCTCCCTGAGAGCGCAGTTCACTGGTTCTACAACAACGGCGACGACGAAGAAACTGTCCTGGTTGTTCTTCAGCACACCTCAAACGATGCTAACCAGCTTGACGATAATCCTCTCGTACGTAACAACAAATTTAATCTATTATATATGAATACTTTAGACTAAATTGGTTTATCTCCTTTATCAGAAACAATGCCAGCCATCACAAGCACATTGGGTGATTATTATGGTTTGTTTTGCTTACAGAGGTTCTTCCTCGCCGGAAAAGCGCAACGAAACCCGGGAAGCAGCCATCAAGGACAGCGTGAACAGCACGGCGGGCAACAAGAGTTGATGACGGAGAGGCAGAGGAACCAGTTGGGATACGGCAGCAACATTCTGGCCGGATTTGATGTCCAGATCGTGAAGGACGCACTGAAGACGGACACGGAGACGGCGAAGAAGATCATGGGAATAGATTCGCAAGAGAATAGAGGACACATCGTAAACGTGGGCAAACATCTTCAGTCGATTGTGCCATCATCACCGTCAAGATCGGAGCAACGCCGCCAACCCGGCCGACAAGGAGGAGGATCATCCAACGCCCTCGAGGAAACCCTCTGCACCGCCAGATTTAGCCAGAACATCGACAGCCCTAAAAGAGCCGACATCTACGACTCTCAGGCCGGCCGCCTCACCACCCTCAACAGCTTTACCCTCCCCGCCTTAAGCTTCGTCCGCCTCAGCGCCGCCCGCGGATTCCTCAATAAGGTACTCCTCCTCCTCTTAATCTCCAGATCACAAGAAATCCACACTCCTACTAACAATAATCTAGCCTAAAGTCACAAGGGCACTCAAATCCAAACTTTTAATTGTTTGCAGAACTGGGGGCTGGTACCACAATGGTGCATCAACGCGCATAGCTTCCTCTACGTCACAAAGGGCAGCGCACTAGTCGAGATCGTGAACCAGAGAGGAGAAGCCATCCTAAACGATGAAGTCCGAGAAGGGCAACTGTTCCTCGTACCGCAGAACTTCGCGGTGGTGAAACAAGCCGGCGATGAAGGGTTCGAGTGGGTGGAATTCAGCACCAATGAAAACGCCATGTACAACACCTTCAGCGGCCGCGCCTCCACTCTCGCCGGGATGCCGGCGGACATTATAGCCGCTTCTTACGACCTATCCGAATCCCAGGCTCAGAACCTGAAGGAAAACATGTCTTCCCTTTGGTTTTACCAGGCTTCTTCCGGCAGCAGCTCACGGTCATCATCATCTTCCGGCCGATCTGCTTTCATATAAAAACTTCCGGATCGGAAAACATCTATCGGAATTCAATAAACCGAGTACGGGTATGGATCGGAGCGGCAGCATGCAATTATGGATTTTAGAATAACACAGGAAACTATATTATTCCTCCCTCGCTCCTAACTATGTATACAAATAATCAAACAAATAAATAAAATGCTGCCTTTCTGCACCTACTATATATATCTTCTCACAAACAGCTTCCCTAGCAACAGTAGTCTAAAGGGCATGGCTCACAAATTATTTAGTAAATTAATTGTTAATTCATAGCTGATTCCATGCAAAATTATTTTCTCAAAATAATTATCTTGATTTTTTTCAATTTTAACATTTTGGAACAATAGGCTCTTATAAGAAGATAATAGCCCTTTGGTAAAAACATTGGCCTATAGGTCAATTTTGACTTATTTAACCACAAATAATTATTTGATTTACTTAAAATATAAATATAAGTGTTTGGTTAATTAGCTTTTTGCTACTCCAAAATGCTAAAATTCAAAAAGCTACTCCAAGCAATTTTTGCAGAAAAAAAAAAATAAATTATACCAAACAGTTATCAGCTCTAATTGACACAATCAGCTATCAGCTAACAGTCATTTACCAAACAATGTCAATTAATTAAACACTCATATTGATTGTTTAGTCAAAGTCAAACAGCTAATAGTAGTCAAATAAGTCAGAATTAACTAAGCTAACTATGTTACCAAACAGGCTGCGAGTCATTCCGAATTTAAAAGTGGCAGTAACCAAAGTTTTATCATCTGTGGTTCACTTGAGTCAATAGTTATAATGTGCAACCGTGTGCACCATGCGTTTTTAGTCAAAACGACGTCGTTTTGACTAAAAACGCGCGTCCCATTTAAAAAAAAAAAAAAATCAGTTTCGATTCCTCTCAATAGTATTATGTTGTTCATTCATTGTGGATTTTTAGTTCATTCATTGTGGATATTTTAGTTCATTCATTGTAGATATTTAATTCATTCATTGTGGATATTTAGTTCATTCATTCTGGATTTTGTGTTATTCATTCACCGTGGATATATAGTTATAAATTTGTAGATATATAGTTATGAATTTGTAGATATATAATTCAAATTATGCACACAAAAAATGTTATTGCCGAGAATCGAACTTGAATTTTTTTTTAAAGTGGGACGCACGTTTTTAGTCAAAACGACGTCATTTTTGCAACCGTGTGCATCATACATGATACACACGATTGCACAGCATAATTTGCGCAGTTAAGTTACATTCTCTCATATGTTCCGTGGGGTCGGGTATGGGGACCAGGCCAGCCACGGATTTTGGCTTCATTTTTACGCAACACGGGATGCACCTAACGCTAAAGACTCCAACGTGCACAACAAATGCAAAAAAAGAATCTTGCAAATTGCAAAACATAATATAGTAACAACTTTGGGAATGAAGTTCTTGCCCACGGTTTCTCAAAAAGGTATCTATACCTTTAGAATCTATCCCAAATCTTAGTTGTTATTAAGATTTGATAGGAGTGAGACTAGTGGTAGGTTTTAATTTATATACACATATATGTTAAAATGTTTCTATCACATGCTTAAACGACTCAAATTCGATCTTTCTATTCGAGTCAACACTTTTTTTATTCAGAGTTTAACATTTGAGCTTATATATACAAATTAAAGTTATATATAAAAACAAAACAAAAGGAAACAAAACGACTAAATGTTATATAAAATATGACAAAACTACACCAAGATAACCGTCAAATTAAACAGACGAGATCACAAACAATCAAACTCTTTTCATTTCAACTATATGCTAATGATATATCTTTTAGTTTATAATATAATAAATATATAATAGCAATGTATGACAGGCATTCAAAGCTCTTTACTTAATAGCTGCAATATTCTTTTATTCCTTGTGATCCCCTCCTCTTCTAAAAGGAGGGTGACGATAATGGCACTTCAATTAATTATTTACTATAAATAATACATTAGACTACATGTTCATGTTTGAGAATATTTATATACTTTTGTTCGTTTTAGATTAATACCCAATTTAGTTATTGATTATAGTAATTTTTGGTCAATTTATTAGTCTTAAATGACTTTTTGTATTTAATTGCATCTTGAAATTTGAAAATTATATTTTATCTATTTGAATTGAGTCATATGTTAGGATAGCTTGGTAATTTCTCCTCTATTAATATTCAATTTAGTCTTCAACTATAATTATTTTTCATAATTTAATCAACTATAGTAGTTTTATCTAATTTAGTTCTGAATTATAGTGATCTTTTTTAGTCATTAATTCTAATAGCTAACCAAGGCACGCAGTTGACTCAATTAGGTAAAATGACTAAAATCATTGAAATGTATGAGTAAATTAAGTATAAAAAGTTATTTAAAATTGATTAATTTAGCCAAGCACCTTGTGCTCTCATATGAGACTCGGGTTAGACTCTTATATGGGAAGTTGTGAATTCGAGTTTCAGTACAGTGCTTACCACATTGTAATAGAGTCAGTAGCATTAAAAAAAATTGATTAACTTAATTTTTTTTAATGACATTTCATAGCTAATGAGCTCTGTAATTTGAAGATGTCTGCGGAGAAAAGACGCAATGTTTTATCTGCGTAGGAATAAAGTGGTTAATTATATATTAATGAATTACCAAAGTAAACTAATTTAACCCCAAATGAAACTACGCCACTACCACTATAAAGAAAGGAATTCTTATTCTTGTTTCACCTTCAGTCACTGATCAACCAATCTTGATCGCCGGAAAATATGTCTTGCCTGAATTTGAAGGGACTGTTTCCCACCACGAAGGTGTTGAAGCTCTTGTCCTCCAAGCTGCACCGCCTCAGCCGCTCCAAGGTCATCAAGAAGCAGCAGCGGAAGACACCGTTGGGCGGCGACAAGGCGGCTATCATCAAGAAAGGTGGCTCCGGCCGATGGCCGAAGCTAACCGGCAGGGGAAAGAAGAAGAAGTTTCAGTTCAAGACGACGAAAAGGATCGATTTTCATAAGAAACCGGCGCCGGTGTATATAGACCAGCTATTCGTGGAGCCCGTGAAGGAGCATCCAGAGATTCCGGATGCCAAGTTGAAGAAAGATGATTGTGATCATCGTCTTGATGATGATCATGAAGCCTGTAGCAGTACGGCGGTTGACGGCGGCGGAGGATCCGGTGAGGCCGATGATATGTGGGAAGCCATCGTGCTGGCTTCGCCGGAGATGCACGGAATCAACGAGAGGGCGGAGGAGTTCATATCCAATTTCCGGGCAGAGATGAAGCGCCAGGAAACTTTGGATACTAAGCGCCGCTTGTAGTACTTCTTTCATTTCTATAATTGCTTATTGTAATATTTGAACTACAAATTGTCTTTTAATTGCTTACTTTAGTCCAATCTCAACTAAAACTTTCTATAGGTATTGTACATATTTTATCTCAACTAAAAGTGTCAATAACAAAATTTTCTATAACTTCTGTCCATGGTTAGACTACACAATTCATTCTATAATGTGATCAAGCTAAAAGGGTCAATAACAAAAATTTTTATAATTTCTGTCCATGGTTAGACTACACAATTCATTCTATAATAATAATAATAACCTTGTAATCAGCTAAAAATGTCAATAACAAAATTTCTATCCATGGTTAGACTACACAATTCATTCTATAATAATAATAACCTTGTGATCGAGCAGCATGACTATGAAAGTGTCAATAACAAAAATTTCTATAATTTCTGTCCATGGTTAGAATACACAATTCATTCTATAATAATAATAATATTGTGATCAAGCTAAAAGTGTCAACAACAAAAATTTCTATAGTTTCTGTCCATGGTTAGACTACACAATTCATTCTATAATAATAATAATAACCTTGTGATCGAGCTAAAAATGTCAATAACAAAAATTTCTATCCATGGTTAGACTACATAATTCATTCTATAATAATAATAACCTTGTGAATCGTGATCGAGCAGCATGACTATGACTCTTCCAAATGAAAAGTCACAGATTCGAACTCTAGTAAAACATGGTCACAAGTTCAAATTCCAATGAACATTGACTCTATATACTTCAATAAGTTAAGAAAATATGTATAAACAAATACTACATTGTAACATAATTAATAGTACTCAAATAATAATAATAACCTTTATTCAAACATTTTCTTAGTATTCAAGATGGAGAATGAGAACAAGGATCCATATGTACATTCACTATTTCGATTGAAACAAGTAATCTTTTTGGTACATTTAAAGGGAAGGCAAACTCTCAACAGTTTAGTCTCAAACCTATGACACCGATACAGAGTTTGAACCAACTTCAAATTTGACAATATTACATCGGGCTCAAGGAAATAACTAAAGGATAACATATTATCAACATCTCAATGCAGAAAATCCCTCATTGGATCATCATGGTGGATCTTCTTCATCCTATATGCCTCCATTTCTTCGGGTGTGACCTGGAAGGCAATTACATGAATGGTCAAGATTACAACGGGATGAGGATTGAGGAGATGGGGATGAATACAAGAAATGAAATGGAGAGAGCAGCATACCTCATTATCATACTTCACATTATATTTCCGTTTCCTTTCATCTGTCACTTCCCTTCTCCGTTCATCCTCCTGGTTATACAACGTAAAACATGCATCAAAAGATGTTTTTGAATTCATAAAAACCCACATGTAAGGAGAAATTATTGGTTGTGAAAGCACATACCTTTTTGAGTGCTTCAGCCAATTTTTTGTCATCCAGAACCAAATCATCCGGTACATCAGTTCCCCATGTAGCAAGTTTCTTCTGCTCAATTGGTGTATGGGCATCTGGATGATTCATAATCGATTTAGATGATATATAAATGGACACACATATATACAAATAACATAAAACTTGGAACAAATGCCCAAAGCAAAAATACTTTGAACTGGCAAATATTAACTTACCTTCTGTAGCTTCTTTGCGAGCAATATTGGCCTTCATTAGATCACCTGCAGCTTCAGCTGCTTCAATTCCAGCTGTTCCTGTGCAATAACTGTTTCGGATGGTCTGTTTGCAACACTTGTAACCCCATTGGTGGTCCTTCCACCAGGAACCCCAAACAGTGGTGTGATTGTTGATGAAAACGTCCTCTTCGTATTTGCTCCTAGGAATAGACATCTCCTGCAGACAAAACGGCATTGATCTTGTTAGACCCGAATAAGATTATTCACTCAAGAAAACAACAGGCAGAAAACAAATGCTGCAATGACATATTCCTATTCATTCCCAACTTCCCATATAAGACAATGGGGTTGGTACTGTTTATGCACATGAATGTCCATATATGCAGTTAAGGTAAAAAAGTCAAATTCATATTTTCATGAAATCTTATTTCAAATATTACCTGTCCCTTCACAATCCTGCCAGTTCGATCATATTCAACTTCTTTCTCACTTTGACCCAGTAAAAGTTCCCTAGGAAGTGTTTCCTCACTAGCTGCATTGCCATATTTCTCCATGATGGTGTCCTTGGTCTGGCCCTTCAATTTCTCTTTACTGACTTTAAAATTTTTATAAAGCAATTCAGCTTGGGAGGGAGCTGCTTGCATATGGATGTCATGGCCCTTCTCAAAAGATTCCCAAGCATGAATATTGAGCTGCTTGAACTCCAGTGCTTGACCACTTAATCTATTTTGGTTATCCCCCTATAACACAACCAAACCACAGATCAATCTTTGAATATAAGCAAATTACTATTTTTTTTTTTAAATAACACTATTAAAACAAAACCTACAGCATAGAACTTCTCATTTGGATCCATATCTGGAAGGGGGTCTTCACGCATGGACCGGGTTTTGGGGTCATAGTGGGCAGAATTGACATCAAGATTAAGAAGATATTTGGCAGTATCTTCTCGAATACGTAGATTCCTGAAATGAGAAAAACATTAAGAGCGTTGAGATGTTAAGCATTTTTAAGAATATGCATGTCAGGGGATAGTGTGTGTGTGTGTGTGTGTGTGTGTATATATATATATATATATATATATATATATATATATATATATATATAACTCACCTGACAGTCCCAGTGCTACCACCTCCTGTAGTGCGCACACGCTTCTCGACCTTTGCAAAATCCATCTGCTTACTTTCATCGACCTTAGTTTCATCTACCTTCAAAGCATCTTCCAAATCTTCATCATCACTAGCATCACCTTCCTGATTTTCATTATTGTTCTTCTCCTCCAACTTCTTAAGCTGCTGTTCCTTCAGATATTTCTTTCTAGCTTCATCCCTGGCTTCATATCTATCAACAACATGGACATAAGAAGCAGCATCATAACCATTCCAGCGGTCCCTTTTACCATCATAATCTAGCTCAAACTGCTCTACTTTCTCATCTGGGGCAATACTTTTCCCCGTCCACTTTGCTCCTAGTTTACGAGGCCTTTCCATACAAGATTTGGCAGTATGGGTCATTGCTCCACAGCTGCAGAAAGTATTTCAACATTTTAGTAAAAGCTTTAACAGAAGAAGAGTGGAAGTACAACACGTTAAAACTCCTCACAAAACCAACAGGGAATTATACTAGAATCTCACTGCTTAACAGAATTTTGGAAATAAAAAGAAATAATAAAACAAAAGAATTTGCTGTCTGACTTACTTCTCACAGGCGCCTTTTCTATATTTGTCAGCCTGGTATATCTTGGCACCCCTGTCGTACCATGACTTGGTGTAATTAGGATCCGACTTCCATTTCCTTTGATGTTTTAAGCTCTAAAAAACATTCAAGCCAAAGGTATGCAAGTTATAATTAATCCATAACAAGTAATGCATATATCACGAAGAAAAAAAAAAATGAGAAACAAAGTCCAAGTCAAATTACAAACAGCATAAGATAAGAAAACATACAGGTTTCTCGGCATTGAGATACCAAGGTGCTGAGGACATATACTGTGGAATGTGAGGGTTAATTTCTTTTCCATCCTCATCAAGCTCAGCTGGTGCAAGCCCGGCCTTTCTTGCCTCTTCCAATTCCATCTGTTTCCTATGGTCCTCTCTTGATTTGAATGCAACTGCATTTCCCACAATTTAACATGTTATTTCAGAGTAATTCAACAACAACAACAACAATAATAAATTAATAATAATAAACTTTTTTTCCCTAATCACAGAAGCTAAATAAGCTACAAAAATATAACCTGGAAAAAACCGTTCCCACAATTTAACAAGTCATTTCGGAGTAATTCAACAACAATAGTATGTAGTTTAATCATAATAACCCTCCAAGTCACATATGCTAAATAAGCTACAACAAATTAATTTGGAAATAACGTTTACACAATTTAACAAGTTACTTCGGAGTAATTAATGAACAAAAGTACACTGTAGTAAATTTTTTATTTTAATCCTCCTAATCGCAGAAGCTAAATAAGCTGGAAAAAAATAAAACGAACGGGATTCACCAAATGATCGAAACTGAAATCTAACTCTAGATATTTATGCGTATATCAAAAAATTGAAGTAAACATAAAGTAAAAAGCTTCCGAACAATCAACTAAGAACACAGTCCACAAACAGGTCTACTGGCATCGAGGTACCAAATTGATAAGGTGATAAGGAACAGGCATATATACAACAGAACGAAAAAAGAGAGAAAGAAAACCTGAAGCGGTAGCCATGATTAGCAGAGACGACGACGACGACGATTGAAACGAATCTAGAGTGTATTGAGGAAGCAGATCGATGAGCGCTAGAGAGAAAACTGCAAAAGATGAAAATTGATTTTCTTGATATTTATTAGGAATTTAGGAGTCAATCCGTGTCCTTCTGCATCTAGGAAAGATATAAGTCGGCGCAATCTTTGGGCTTAGAATTCTTTGGGCTTACGGAAGACTAATATCTAAGAAGCCCAACTTAACCCGGCTGATCCGGAAATGAAAATCTTTCTCTTTTATTATCAAGGATTTATATTTTTTTTTTAGTACTATTGACTCTATTACGGCAAATTATGTTATAGATTCAGGTCCAAAATAGAGTCGTTTAAAAAAAAAAAAATTACTTTCTTCCTTACCGTTTGTCTTCAGAATTTGTTCCTCTATATTCACAATTTTAGAACTCTATACTCACAATTTTAGATCTCAATATACAAAATTACATAACTCTATATTCGCAATTTTTGAACTCTATATTCACAATTTTTGAATTGAATATTCACAATTTTAGATCTCAATATACAAAATTACAACTCAATATTCATAATTACAGAACTCTATATTCACAATTTTTGAACACTATATTCACAATTTTTGAACTTTATATTCACAATTATATCAACAGTATAACACAATTTTTGAACGCTATATTCACAAATAAATAAATAAATAAATAAATATATATATATATATATATATATATATATATATATATATATATATATATATATATATATATATATATATATATATATATATATATATTTGGCTGAGGAAACGATGCCACTAACGGCACCGTTATTCTAGACGCTCATAGCTGCGTTGTTTTGGACATGGGTCTACCTTGTACAGTGGACCCGGGTCCATGACATAACAATTGCTTTATTACAAGGTAGTATTTTGTTTTATGCTTTTTCTGTCTGTTGCATCCATAATGGGCAAATTATTGTGTAGACCAGGTTCACATAGATGTATGAACCATTAATGCAGTATACATTTTAATATATTAAAAGTACATTTTTTATATTTAATGTACATTATTTGATAATATATAAAAAATCATATACTTTCAAATAATGTACTTTACATATACAAATAATATACTTTTAGTATATTAAAAATGTACTTTTTATTTATGGCTCACACAAATGTGTGGACTATGGTCCATGGAATAATGGTTGGCCACAAGATACTTGACAAAGATTTCTATCTATTAGTATACTCAGGTGGTGTGCAAGACTTTTAAACCAAAGTTAGTTTTGACTATGTTGGATCAATTCGTCAATGATATTAAAGAAGCGTTAAATTCATCTAACGAATTCATCTTCAAATTTGTGAAACAGTCTGCGATTCAAGTTCTTTGTAGCATTGTTAGGGAAGTTGTTTCGACCGTAAGGAATGGTATCCCGTTTCATCGATCTTATTTGTAATCACTTCAGCTTATGATTAAATGGATAAGTTCCTTTATTTTCAAAAAAAAAAAAAAAAAAAAATCAAGAAAGTTAGGCATATAATGGGAACTAAAAAATATTTGTCCAATTATTTGATGAAATGAATGATTCATATTTGTATTTTTTTTTTTCATTTTCCTACTTTACCCTCTTACAGTAATAATGTTTACGAGATATATTTTATGTATTACTTTGTAGTAAACAGAGACAATCGTATTGCTATGGTTTGTGTACAAGAAACGGATTGTGTTCCCCTCTTGCTACACGGGGTTAGCCTTTATTATACTATAAACCTGTAACGGTTACAATAACGCAACGGCCTCCTAATAAGTGACAATGTCACCCATAACTCCTATCTTTGATAAGGCGGTGATCTTAATGTGTGAGCTCTTCTAATTGTTCTACTTGTTCTCTGCTCCTGACTGTTGTTTGACTGCTTTGAGATAATAAACATAACTATAAATTTGAAACAAATATTAATCGAGGAAACATGCATTAGAAATGATATATCCATTACAGGGCGTTTGGTTGGAGGGGGGGAATTATGTGGGAAAAGAATTGTAATTCCATGGGAGTTGAATTACTGGGAATAAAGTGGGAATTTAAATTCCAGTGTTTGGTTGACAGGAATAGAATTAATGGGAATTTCAATTCCAATGTTTGGTATACATGGGAATTGAAAGGGAATCATTAATTTTAGGTTAAAAGGGGAAGGATAATTTTGACTCATCAGTATCTTTTTTTCCCAGGAATTAAAATTCCAAGGGTGGACATGGGATTTTAATTCCATGAAAATGGGGGAATTGCAATTCCATGGAATTGCAATTCCCTCCAACCAAACTATGGAATTTAATGGCCTTTGGAATTAGGTGGGAATTAAGTGGGAAGGGAATTTAAAATCCCTCCAACCAAACGCCCTGTTATAGTATGATTTTTGTAGGAGGTTATTGAATATGTTAATTTACTCAATATTTTGAACTTAAACTCGATTAGAAATGATATATCCATTATAGTATAATTTATGTAGGGGGTTATTGAATATGTTAATTTACTCAATATTTTGAACTTAAACTCGATTTCAAATTGACTCAACTCATGTGCAATAAGCTAGCAAGTCATCACCCAACTTGCCCAGGCTAATACTGAAGACAATGGCTAACTAGTTTTGCACGACATTTAACACACTGGTAATAGTCTGACGAAAAAATCACCATTAGCAATTAGAAGATACTAAGGTGTGTGTTATCATGAAATAAATAAATTGTACGAAACTAAAAGTATAACTAATTCCTCAATCCCATATTTTGGGATTCCCGGGCCGATATCTCATTTAGTCATTTACACAAACTAAAGTTGCTTAGTTTTTTTTTTTTTTTTTTTTTTTTTTTTTTTTTTTTTTTTTGTGGTACTAGAGCCTCACAATGTCTATTTAGTACTCTAATTTAGTAATAAGTTCATACTCATTACTTCTCGACATAGTATAAATACAGATCTCTATTAGTACTTTCAATTCAATTTAGACTATCGGTATAAAATAAGAAAAATTTAATTACGAATTATTTAAAATAAAATATAATATACTCCGTATTATTTAAAGATTCAAGTTGTGATACGAAAACATCACCATTTTTACTATATGGTATATGCTCCCCATTTAAAAATAATTGAAGTTAACTAGCTCGTTTTGGGTTTTATTGAATATAATAATTATAATTATTTTGATTAATAATAAAATTTATCGTCATTTTGGAAGTGTATTTATTGTATAAGGAGATTGATAAATTTAGCTGACTCAATTGAGAAAGACAATTAAAAATAAATATTGTGATTACCGAACTAGTTTTTTTTATTAATTGTGTCAGGGTTGCTGAGAACTACTTTTTCTGTCCCATTTTATTTGTCTGGCTGGTTAAATAGTCTTTGATTGAAATTATTTTTAATTCAAATTTTTTATAATTTTAAATTTAATATTAGTATATAAAATTTATATATTTAAAAATTACATTAAAAGTACTATTAAATCCAACAAATCAAATTAAAAATAATTAAAAATTACCAATCAATAATAAATAACACAAATAAAATGGGAATACAATGTAATTACGGAGTATTAATCAAGTATATAAGCAAGCTAAGCACCTCTTTCCTAGAGCTTGATACAGCTTGATGATGGCGTCTTCTTCTTCATGGCTGAAGTTTCATCGTTTGATGTCCGGTCGCAGGTAATTTTTCCATCGGAGTCTGCAACTCTGCACGCGATAATCAGGGACGGAGGGAGAGGGGGTAGCAGATAGATCGTGCGTGAGGTGCGTTGCTTCTGTCTTCGTCTCTGACTCTCTGCCGCAGCGCCGCTACCAGCTTCCGGCGCATCTCCGTCCCGGCCTACCGGCTTCAGGCAACACGCCAACACCGCCTCTCAGCGCCCCTCGTGATCGGAAACTCGTCTCCTCAGTCCTCCTAGTACTCACTACTCAGGTTCTTATTTTTGCCCTAATTTCTCTAATTTCCCTAATTACTCAAATTTTATTTTAATTAATTTAGTGTATGTGTTTTGTTGAATACTTGAATACATGAATTTCAGAATTTGTTTATTAGTTTATGAATTATCAATTAATCAATTATGAATTTATGATTTATGAATGTGAGTTGGGTAGGTTTGGTGTTCCTAATTTTTCTAAAGACAGTGAATGGCCGAATGATGCAGTGAATGGCCGAATGGCCTAATTTTCAATTGGTGTTACTTGAAATCTTGAATACATTTATACTTGAATACTTGCTAATTTTCAATTGTTGAATGGCAGTGATAGATTATATTGGTGTTTGCTAATTTTTCTAATTTTGTTTCCAAACTCTGGTGTTCCTAAATTTTCTAAGGACAGTGAATGGCAGAATGATGCAGTGAACTTTGTTTTGCTAATAAGAGTATTATCCAGTAGTTTGTCATAAACTTTGTTTTGTAATTTATAATGTATTTTGTATTTTAACAATCGTATTTTTATTTGATATTTTGTATTTGGACCTTCTATTTGAACATTTTTGAACTTATTTTACGTTTGCTTCTTCGTCCCCCACTAGAAATCCTGGCTCCGTCCCTGGGGATAATGGACGCGGAAGGTAACCTTCAACCGCACTGTCTGAATGTTTTACATATGTGTGTGTCTATGGCGATCTTTCGTAATGCTATGTAACAATCGCAACACAAACTTTGAATCTGCGTAACAAAATGCATCGTAGGGCAACGGACGCCTTCGAACCCTTCGGCAGTGCTCGCCGCTATCTTGTCGAAACGAGGCAAGCTTCACGAGGAGCTCAAGAGCATTGAGAAGCAGGTGGTTAACGTTTGTTCTTCCGTTCTGAGTGTGAGTATGGTGTGTCAGAAGATGCTTCTGCTTAGGCGGTGGTTAATACTTGGAATTTGAATTGTAGGTTTACGACATGGAGACGAGTTATTTGCAGGATCCAAGCCAATGTGGGAATGTGTTGAAAGGTTTTGAAGGGTTTCTGTCATCATCGAAAAGCACTACACTGTAAATTCTTCAACCATTTTAAGTTTGGGAATGCTTATCACTGTTATTTTGATGGGTGTGAACTTTGAATGAATGTAATGTGGGAATGTAATCAGGTCTTTAACTCCACAGTGGTATTCACTAAGAGAGGGCAGATACTGAGCTCAAAGTTTAATATGATTCATTTTATTGCAGTGTGTTAAAGTTTAGGTATATAGTAGGAATTCTAGGGTGTGAGTGTCAGCAGATCTCTTGCAGCCATGGTTAAAAGTGAATACAGGAAATCTTGTGACATTTTAAAGTATCTGTAGTTCTCAACCAAGGTGTAAAGAGTTTGGACTAAATCAAGGGCCTCAATGTTTTCTGAAACTCCTTGATAGATACAAGTGATGATACTGTTGTGCTTGCTCTGATAGAGAAAGAAAGAGAGTATCTATTTCATGAATCGCATTCAGAGCTAAACCAATAACAATGGGACATCAAAAGGAATATGCTTTTCAATCATTGGGACACAATTGTTAAGAAAGCAATGTAAGATTTCTCACCAGCTTCTATTATGTTGCCTTTCTCCTGCAAAAAATCTTCTTTTTGGTGGAGGGGACTAGGGGAGGCTACTCGTTCTTTATCGGAGTCCTTAATGGATTAGTATTAAGTAAGGTACTAAGCTGTCAACAAGATAACCAGCAAGGGTATGAGCTAATTTGGGAAAAATAAATGATCAGGGGATAGACAACAGACAATGCCAAAAGGGAGCACGTAGACAATTCACTTGGGCACTAAACAATCATGAAGGAAGATGAAGATGTACCAAAGTGAGACCTAAATGACAATTCAATATTTGTATTGAGAGAATCCCATGTTTGGACTGAAATCTTAGGAGTCCCCCTCCACCACCTAAGAAAAACACGTCATTTAATAATGAGATGGATTAGAGGTCACTAGATATGTCTGATGATTTAGTTACAATTTATGTTCAATACTCTGTTTCTTTGTGTGATTTTCCTTTTCTATCAATGGTTTGTTTCAGTTTAAAAAGGTCAAGGAAGTTTCAACCGGAAGATCGGCTTTTTTCGCTATCCTCTGTAACTTCGCCAGCGGTATGTTATATTACATATAGTTATTCAATGATGGTGCTACGTATGTCTTTTGTTTTGTAGTTTCTGCAAAAATAAGTTTTACTTGAATCAAGGCATCCACTATGGCTAGATGCAAGATGTATCAGGCTTATTGATGTGTTGATGGGAAACCATTTTCGATTTTTTTTCCTAATTGTTTGCGGTTGAAATAGTGTTCTATTCTATGGTTGAAAATCTTTGTATTAAATTGAAACTAAAAAGCTGGTAACTTAAGATTTGTTATCACTTTTAGCAATAGTGTTAAAAGGTTTGTGAAGATCTGCGTGAACTTTATGGCACTTGTCATAATGCTATAGTAAAATATTTAAGTTCAAGCTATGATAGCTTTTTTACTTTATATTTAATCTCTTTCAATCAAAGCTCAAATTTGCTCATACTTTCTTGAGAATGTATGGGTAATGGGTGTCAAGGTTGTAAACATCTTTGGTGAGGCCCAAGTTGTCCACTATTCTGAAGTTGATCTTGTCAGCTATATATCATTAGCTCTGTTGTAAATATAATTTCTTTGCTTTGTTGGGTTTTATTTGCACATTGGGAATACTTAATGATGTACCACTCTAGAGTCTAGAGAAGTAAATGCCTCCAAACATACACATTCACTGTTTCTTATTAATCCAATATATATATTTTAGTGCTTGTTTGGCCCAGAGCTTCTTGAAATAGAGTTTGTTAAATGTTTTTTTTGTTTTGTTTTGTTTTGTTTTTTGTTTTTTTTTGTTTTTTTGTTTTTTTTTTTTTTTTTTTCCGTTGGGTTTCAACTTTAGAGCTTCTTGAAAAATAGGCTTTTTGTTATGTAGCTTTAAAATGAATTTTCTTCAGTTTTAGTGTTTGGCTCACTTTAGATAATCTCCAATCAACTGTAAGCCAAACCAAGTTGTAAGATACAACTACTTTAGCTGCCACATGCTGGTCAGGCCCATAATAAATGTATGGTTTGCTCATTTCCTTATGTTTCTTATTTGCCCTTGTTCCGGGCTGAGGAAGTAGCGGTTGGGCGTGATGGTGCAGGTATACCTGCAAATGGACAGTAAGTATTTGGTTATCCCTTATCCTATTGGTAACCAGTGCCTTTAATGGAAGGGATTTGATACTATTGTATAGAGAATTTTTATATCCCGAACAAATTTTTGTTGGTCACAGCTGACTTGATAAAATTCACAATGTCTGCAGGGGGAAACAGAAGAAAGGTAGGGGAGGCCCGAGAGAGGCGAAGAGACTGCGTCATTCTAGTGAACCAGACTACGATTATGAAGATGACCTTGACATGATGTAGTTATGGCTTGGCTTTGAGATAGCAAGCTGGTTGGTTTTTGGAGAAAAAATGAGGATCTTTATACAACCCTGCTTGCAACAATGGTACTCTTTCCCCTATGATGTACAAATATCACTCTCAGAGTGCCATGATTTAAAATGCCAGTCTCTATAAACTAACTTCGGTCTTGTATCTTCTTAATCGAACTCGACTCAAGTGATAAGAGTTTGAGTTCTTTAAGTATAAGATCAAGAGTTTGAACTTATATGTATTTTGGAGTGACTATTGAAACACATTTACTTTTTTTTTTAGTGATGAGGAAAACCTGTAACCACTACTCGATTGTGCGCATGCACTACTTGAAGGTTTGCATTGGGTAAATCTTGCCTCATGATTCTAACTGGCAAAGGACAACAAGGAAATAAACCAACCTAAGTTACCAAGTCAATATGCAGTACTTAAGGGTGTGCATTAGGTAAATACCGCTTTATGATCTTAACTGGCAAAAGACAAGGAGATAAAGCAGCCTAAGCAGCCTATCAATAGTCCCGCCTTATGATCCTAACTGAGTAATTGGCAAAGAACAACAAGGAGAATCTTAACTGTTACAAAGTCAATAGTCCCGCATAAACTGGCCCAAATTATCAAGTCAATAGCCTAACCAACCTGTCCACCCCCAACATATTTACTCTGTTTTATGGAAGAAGGAAAAATTAAATGAAGTGATGAACAAATGATACAACAGGGGAGGATACAGATTTTTGTTTTGGTTCTAAGTTTAGAACCAGCTAGGGGTTAGGAGACAGTAATGTTTCACCAAGTTGAAGTTGTGGCGGATTCCGACGAAGTGAGCAACTGCTCCAAGAACTCAGCCCCCAAATCCTCCAGCACCACCACCACATTATTCTCCTTGGCTCTGCTCCGCCGGCACGCCGACGATCTCTTCCGGATCATGGAGTGGCGCCTCTTCAGCTCCACCACCGGCGAACACCCTTCCTTGAACCCGCACTTCATCATCTCCCGCAGCGACTCCCGCACCACCTCCTCCGGGAAGTTCATCACCGCCAGCGAACCCCGCATGGCGAACGCCGCCTGATCGTACGCCAGCGCCGCCGCCTCCGCGCTGTCGAACGTCCCCAGCCAAACCCGAACTCCGTTCCTCGTCGAGTCCCTTATCTCCGCCGCGAACTTCCCCCACGGCCGCTTCCGAACCCCTCTGTAGCTCTTCTCCGCCGCCTTCTTCTTCCGCCCCTCCTCCGAACTCACCTCCTCTTCCGACGCGTTCGTCGTCTCCGACGACTCTTTGCCGCTCGTCGTCTCCGCCGCTAACACCTCCAACAGCACCATTTCCTGGGAATCGTTCACGTTGAAAGGAAGAGAATCCTCCCATAAAGACTCAATCGCGTTCGAGTTTTGGCACTGAACCAACCAAGAATCATCCATGGCGGATTTTCTACTTCTACGAGGTCTTCTTTAGATTTTTCCGAGGTGGGTGACTCAGAATGTTTTGCTGAACTTGAACTCCTAGGCCTAACTATATATACCTGAAACGGAGCTTTGTTCTTTCTCATTCTTATGACTATAGTTGGTTAATTAATTAAATCCTAATAGCCTAAGCTTACTTAAAAGTTAAAAGTGGGTGTTATTTAATTAATTAGAACTTGTGCGTAATTAATAAGAGTTTTTATCCACAAATGTATTCTAGAAAGGGGAAACTATAATTTGTTTGTATGGTCACAAATTTCTTATACTACTCAACTAGATCATACACAGAGACCTGTCATAAACTGAAAAAAGCTCGTATAATCTCATCCACGCTGCTATAAATAAGGAAAAAGTATAATTTTAATCCATATATTATAGCTCCATGGTGATTTTAGTCCCGTTCAATGTGAAATTATAGTTTGATTTTTGAAAAATTAGAACTGAAATCATTATTTAGTCGATCATAACTTAGAGATTCAAACGGTAATATGAAAGGATCAAAATCGCAATTAACGTGGTTAAAAACATAGAAGTATTCGTACTCATACCGAATCATTAGACATTAAAATTATTGTTTAATCATAATGTTTCTATTAAAATCGTACTTTTCTCTAATATAAATTTTTGGTGATTCTTTAGGTTATAAAACTTGTGTTGATTAATAATTGAAATTAAAAGCGTACACGACTAATTAAGGTTATATTGAGTTACTTTCTTGTGGTACTCTAAAACTAAATTGTACAACTTTATTAAATAAAAAGTACATGTAAAAGTTTTCGTAAATATTAACATTACCTATCATCGTATACATATTTTATTTTTATATCAAAGTGACATTTTTATAAATATGTGAATTATACGCTCGCTCGTAGAGTCATAGTCTTGTAGATATGGTCTTGGGGACTTGAGGGACCCGCATATTATATATATACGAGGACGTAAGTAGCACGTGAGTCAAATGACGCAAGGCGGCAATAAGCCAACTCCCGGCAACTACTTTTCAAAACCGGTCGCTTCTTGGTTCTTGCATGCATGCATATTCCAATTATTTCTTTATTCAAAAAAGAAAATTGAAAACGAAAAGTAAAGAAAGTTTTTATTTTGGTTCAAAATCATTTGAATATACTATCTTCTTAGGCACTAGTACTAATCATTGGTGGGCATATTATTTTAGAGCATTTTTATCTGTAGTTATTTGGGAGATTATTACAGAGAATTCACTGACAAATTGAAGAAAGAAGGTAGGAGAGAGAGGGATTGGGTTTATCTGCAAGGTTTGAATTCTTGGAACAGTAACAAATGCCAATACGGGCACGTGCAGTGCACACGTCCGATGGCGCGTCAGCCGCGCTCCTGATAGTTTGTTGTTTATTATTATTATTTTTTCATAAACAATTTTGTTTTATTTTTTTTTTCTCTTTTTTCTCTCCCCTCCCATATTCTCTTTCCTAATCACACTTACAAAAACTCTTAAAACTCAACCATTGTGGATGCTCTTAGGAACCAAGCGGGCAACAAAGGGGTGTTTGGTAAATAGCCGTTAGCTGATTGGGTTAGTGACTTTGACTAGTTGATAATATTAGCTGATTATAAAAAAGTGTTTGGTAAATTAGTTGTTAACTGATAACTGATTACATGTAAATTGACTTTCTTAAAAAGTTGATCGAAGAAGCTACTTTGAGCAGCTTTTTGAATTTTAACATTTTAGAGCAATAAGATGTTACAAAAAGCTAATTAATCAAACACTCATATTAATTGTTTAACCAAGTCAAACAATTAATAATGTGATCAAACAAGTCAAAATTGACTGATAGCTAACTATTTTACCGAACAGGACCTTAAACAAAATATTTATTGCTATAAAATTTATAACTTTTTAAGATTAAATAATTAAGTACTTAGTGGCACCTCTGTATTGACTACTTAATGTGTTTGTGGTTTGTGACAATGGCTCTAAAACTCCATAAAATTAAGCATCCATGGAGGCCGGGTGTTATAGCTGTAGCTCAGTCCCCAGCCATTAATTTGCATACAACAAACACATGTGTGCAGTAGGGCGAGCAGATGAGCCACCCCCGGGGTTGGTGAACCTTATATATAGTAGCCTTTGTAATGCAAATGGAACCATATATATATCACTTTCCCAACATTAAATTGAAAGCTAAGGGACAATAATAGGTGGTAATGTTTTTGTTTTTTAATTCAAAATATATTATAGTTGGTGGTCAATAACGTCGATTCTCTGATTTTACCATTGTATTAGCAGTTTACTTACCAACTGCCCCAAACTGTTGAGTTAAATATATTACTTTCATTTCTTCAATTCACACGTAAGAAAAACCTAGTACATGAATTCGTGAGAAATTAACCAAACATCTTTTTATATATAGAATCGGGTCGAATGTTATTTCTATCGAATTCTGTAAAATTTTTTGCTATGGTTGTTGAAAAATTAGGGTTCACTCACTGACACGTCCCTACCTAATTGAAATGTTCGACCATTGGACAAAAATGGTCGATAAGCTAACCACTTTGGCTAGTGGTCCATAACAATGAGAAGCAAATTTGTGAATTCCAAAAGTGATCGGAACATGAAATTTATCATTTTCCAACCACTTATGGGTGATCAAATACATTTGATATATATATATATATATATATATATATATATATATATATATATATATATATATATAACAATTACTATTATTATTACATGACCAATTTCAAATGCATGTATAATATCTTTACATCTTTATATATAATAAAACCCTTAGATTTGGCCAATGAAATTGTTATAAAAAGTAACCATTATTATTCTATGATTCTACAATAACCTTATTCCCACTTCGATTTAATCCACAATCGCAAACCAGCTAATAGAAAAAGCTACGTCCATTAGACCATCTCCAACCCAAAACACCAAATTCTACACCAAATTTTATACTAAAAGGAATATTCCTAGCATATTCTTACATCAAATTTTTTTCATCTCCAATCCATTACACCAAATTCTGCACTAAATTTTTTTCTTTCATTAAAATAATTTATTTTCTCATAAATTAAGACTTTGTATTATAACTTTATATATTTTAATATAAAATATAATTATAATGCAAATATTATAAGTATTATAACTTTAAATATATGTTAAAATTATATTTATGTAATTTTATTTTTAATTAATTTATGTTCAATATTAGTCTTATTTTAATCGTCTTGATAAGATCTTTCAAATGATATACTTTATTTTTAATAATATAAAATTTATACTTAATAATTTAACAAAGTATATAAATATATTTTTAAAAAATCAGGACATAAAAGGAATTAAGAATAGAAGGAAGGGGCAAAATTGGATGGAAAATACCCCCACCAAATTTGCTGCAGATAAACAGTGCAGCGCCATGCTGCGCCAAATTTATAGCGGGATGGCGCTCCATTGGAGCAGGGGCACACCTTTTTTTCCACCATTTTGGCGCAATGGCATGCCCCTTGGAGATGGCCTTAGCTTTTCAATTTTTGGTTGATTGGTCCTTTGTATCTTAGTCGATTTCTATGTTTTTTGTAATTTTTTGTTAAAAAAATTAGTTATTATTATTATTATTATTTGGAGTAAGGACTCTTCTATAGAGTTCTAATTAATCATATGCGTCAAACAATGGGTTAAAAATTTAGCCCAAGAGAATTGAATGGAAAATTATATATAGTTGAAAAGTCCAAAAACTAAAAAGTATATAGAATAAAATTCAAGAAGAATTTTGGAGTGGAAAAAAGAAAGAGAAAAAACTGTCATTTACAATTAATTTAAGAAAGTTGTAATATTAATTATATTAATGTAATTTAGCACGACAACCTTGTGAAAATGACTTGGTTGTGTTACACACTTGTACAATATATATGTAAAAATGGATTGAACAAAACAGTAGAAAGGGACTGCCGATGATTGACTGATGCTTCATGTCCAGATACAATCCTCCATTAGAAGGTTCTTTGCACCTTTATTTAGCTAGTTTGGTAACTTATTCATAATATATATATATATACACACACACACATAAATTCCCAATCAACATGTTAGTAATGATTAAGGTTGCGATTGTGGATTAAATCGAAGTGGGAATACACACATCTCGTGTGAATGCATATGTAGTTATTGTAGAATCATTAAAATTTGTGAGGATCGCGTGATGGTTTAAAACATTAATTCTGTTAAAAGAATTCTTAACGTAATTCGGGAAATCACTATTCTGCGAGGCACTTCTCGTATTGAGAAAAAGCATGAATTCATTATGAGAACAATTTCAAAGTATAGAGTTTTAGAATCGGAACATTTTTACAGAATAGAATCTAAATCTCAGTATCTCTCTCTATTGAAACCATCTAAAGATAGCCACCTAACTAGCTTTTGTAGGCTTGGAGCTACTAACTTGGTTTGATAATTAACACTTTAAAGTAAAGGTGAGAGTCACGTATTATTTAGAGGTGTGCTCTAGGTAAATCTTGACGTATGACCCTAACTAGCTGTTTGAAATCGAAAAGGCCAATAGGCCGTTCATACATGAAGTCAAACTTAAAACCTTATGATTATCAAGTCAACTCGGTTGAGATTGTCCAATTAATGTTTATATTGTTACTTGATTTGTTGTATAAATTTATTAGATTATATTCACAATATTTGGTTGGGATATATATGGAAGTACAAGAACAAAGCTAGCTAGCTAGGAGAATTGAAGGACATAAGTTGTACATTTTGTTTTGTCCTATTTAACAAATTAAATGCACCTTTACTTATCAAGACATGCAACATTTTCTTTATTTGTTCTTAGCCTGACATTGCTACAATAACGTCATCTTCTATAGCAATCAGATTCAACGTATTTGATCAATACTAATACTCTGTATATTTGATATAATCATTCTTCCAAAAGGTAACTCTCTGCCGCTGGTGAGACTAAATCCCTGATCATTCTTTCAAAGTTTCACTTCTATGACCAGTTGAGCTGCCCATGCGGGTTATATTTGATATAATCATATTATTATAACAAGCGCTATAAACACTATCGAACTTGCGAACTTGTAAAAGATTACACCGCACTTATTACATGGTTGCACCGCAAGGTCCTTCAGGCATATCTAGTAGCCATAGCAATACAATCATGTAGTAGTTTACAGGTTAAGGTTGATTCTAACCTGATTATATATATATATATATATATATATATATATATAGACACACACATATTGTTAATACACTATATATATTTTAGGTCATTCTTATCATTGTCGTACGTGTATTCAAAGGAAATGGATGCGGCCACGGTCGATCGATGTTGAAGTATTGTGTCGAGGAGGCATGAATCTGTACATATATGCTTGATGCTTCATATTTAATTTGAATATATCATCGTGCATTCTCACCCTATCATTTTCTTTAAGATTCACACAAAAAATGTGGCATTATATATACAAAATGCATGTATATATAATGGATAAAGAATATATATAATAGCATATTATTTTTTGGGGTCAAATTACAAGTTCCAATCTCATATATCGAGACTAATATTTTGTGTCAGATAAAGTTTCAAATGATAACAAAGTACTAATTAAGCAGAAAGAAACACATATCATCTCATCCACATGCACCGCCCATTGAGTTATATAATAGTATACTAGTATTTTTTGTGCGCGATGCGCAAAAAAATAGGTGCCCAATATTAATATATTATATTAAAATTTTAAATTTATTTAGATTTTAGATATTTAAATTATTCTAAATAATAATAATAATAATGTAAATCATTTTTATAAATTTGATATTTATATTTATGTAATAATTAATATATAACTCAAATATTTAATGTGTATATATTATTATTAATAAAGAAGATAAGAAAATATATTGTGGATGCATGTGCATGGTAACAATAGTGGAAAAGATAACGGAAGTTATAACGGTAGAGGTATGTTTGTCCAAAATATTTTAATGTACAACCTTTATAATATAATGTACAAAAAACGGACATAAATCAGGGATATAACTTTCATTCACACTTATTATGTTTTTAGATTATTATTATCAATTAGATAGAGACATGATTTTTTTTTTTTTTTTTGAAAGTTACTGGCCCTATTACATTGTAGTATCACTGAGGCTAGAATTCGTAACCTTCCAAATAAAAGTCCAATCCGGGTACCATTAGACCACATAGTCTTGGTAGATAGAGACATGATTGATTACACAAGTATTTGTATTTTTTTTCCCCACTAGAAAAAAGTAATACAAAGAGGCTTGTTAGGTCCTTCTCCACCTTAATGGTGCGGGTAATAAACGCTTTCACTTTTAATTAACCAAAAATGGATAAGGTTCAAGTAATATAATTATATAATAATATATTTGGCAATAATCGTATTGATAACGGTTGACATTTCAAAGTGACATTAAGCTCAAACTAAGAGTGGTCAGTTTAACCAGGATTATGTGGTCTAATGGTATCCGGGTTGGATTTTTATTAGAAAGATTATGAGTTCAAGTCTCAGTGGAGGCTACATACTACAATGTAATAGAACCACTTTTCAGTAGAGTGAGACTTACATAGTTTACGTTAGTGTGACAGACTGTACGAGAATCATATTCTACTCATTCAATCAGATGATTTTTCGATACATATAATGTCATGTGTTGTTTACAATTGGTAGTACAAAACCATGGATAATTCATCACTCTTAGTATATATGTTGGGACCATAAAAAACACCAAGTGTTGGTCTTTCTGCCATTTTTTGGGATCATATTTCGTGGTACCTACGCCATACACATGCAATCAAGAACATGGTCAAATGCATGCACAAGCTAGCAAGCTAAAGCATATCACAACCCAGTTGTATATAGTACAATAATTTATTATGATCTTTCACAAATATATATTTCTTTTGTCCTTTGTTTCATCACAAGTTAATGTTATTAAATACGATATGTATACACTCTTTTAAAGCTTACTGTGAATTAAATATTTTATTCTTTTTTACAGACAAAACAAGTTGTTACAAATTTAATTGCTATTTATATATACTTACCCCAAAAGGCTGAATCCCCAACCCTAAGGGCCCCCCACACTCCGACCCGATAGAGCATGTGGGAGGATGTAAAGCTATTTATATATACTATATACTATGCGTATGTTCCTTATCGATTAAAATTTTTAAAACATAAAAGCACACAATTTTCCTCTGCAAATTATTCTGTGGAACTGGATCCAAATTACACAATTTACATACTGAATATTCACAATTTTGTAAAAGGTAAATTGTGAACATTTAGTATATAAATTGTAAACATTAAATATGTAAATTGTGAACATTTAGTAAGTATATGGTGTATTTTCAACACGAGTCTATCTTACGAGGTGGACCCGGGTCCATGGTATAAGTATTGATTTTCCTCCCCCTTCAAGGAAGTTTAATGGATTTGTTTTTAAAAATTTTGGATTATTAAATTCTCCACCAAAGGTGAACATAATATTTTTTTTTATTTGGCCGTCAAAATTTGGCCATCCAAAATTTTCGTCCGTTTTGAACTGAATTTTTTAATTTTAAATTATAAAATTCCATCCACCAATGTGGACAGAATATTTATTATTTATTTTACAGTTTATTATTTTGATTTTAATTTTTTAAAAAAATTTTAGAAATTCCCATCCACTTTTACAATGACTTCTATTTCTGTCTTAAAAGTGATATGGTTGTAATTGCACTCGAAAAGTGAATGAAAAAAAAAAATCTATAATTTTTTTGGGTAATGATCGAAAATCCAATTCAATAAGTTATTCACACCTTTGCATTTTTTATTTTTTTTTAACACAAGAAAAACACACAACCACTAAGAATGTACACTTCTTCAACTTTGACCCTATGTAATAATTAGCCAGCCACAAATGAGAGATAAACCACATTAAATCAATTAAATGTGTTGACAAAAATAAAATATATAATATTTTATACGATAATTATGCTCTATCTACTCCGCTTTACTCATTCCATTTGGGCCGGCGGTCCTTAGTCACCCCATTTTGGACAATCGGGCGAGCAAGTTGTGTGGACCATATTTTGTATACTGTAAAATAATGTACATTCAGTACAAAAATAATGTATATTCAATTCAAAAATAATGTACAATGTATTTAAGGAATGTACATTATTTTTGTACTGAGTGTATATTATATTGTATAATGTACATTCAATACAAAAATAATGTATAATTAGTATATTAAAAATATACTTTTTGTTATGGTCCACATAACACTGTGTGAACCATGGTCCACAGTCCACACAATAATTTGCCACAAATTCACTACAGCTTGTTGTTTAGGCTTATTGTCTCTTCATCCATTTCAATATTTAAGTTATAAGTTAAATTAAATATAATTTTGTTTCTAATATATATATATATATATATATATATATATATATATATATATATAATTTTGTTTACAAAATATTTCTATTCTTAATCTTTTGGGATAAAAGTAAAATAAGCCCTCAAATTTTACCTAAAAAATCAATTAGGCCCCTCAACTTTTTAAAGTAGTAATTAAACCCATCAACATTATATTTTGATGCAATGAAGTCCAAAACTCGGTTAGTGACTTGCTTTCACAGGTCATTAGGGATCCGGTCAACATTTCGACCAACTCCGACGATATTTTCGACAATAAAGTGATTGGCAACCGTAGGACGGTCGCCAATGAATTAACGAAGGATAAGGCAACTTGTGAGTTGCCTTCTCACTGAGAAGGCGACCAATGGGTCGCTTTCTCCGATGAGAAGGCAACCCACGGGTTGCATTCTCCTCTGTTGATTCGCCGGTTGCCAATCACTTTATTACTGGAAATATCGCTGTAGTTGGTCAAAATGTTGACCGGGACCTATTTTCTTGTAATTTATTTTTCATGGAATTTCAATTCCATTTCCCTTCAAATATTTTCTAGCGAACAAAACGAGCTGTTAGTGATTTGTGATAGCATGTAACTAACCGATTCTTGGACTTTATTGCACCAAAATACAATGTTTATTGATTTAATTACAACTTTAAAAAGTTTAGTTGCTTAATTGACATCTTTAATAAAGTTTGAGGGTTTATTTGCCCATTATATTAATTTGGCCGTCCTACATTGTTTTGATTTTCTTGAAGTTGTCGTCTCAATTTGTCCATTCCCATTCTCATCCATTAAACTCCACGGCGCACCACAAGAATCACTACAAAAATAGTAACTAACGCTGACCCGTATAGAAGCGCGGCGAGGCGGCGGCGGCGATGGTGAGGCTAAGTGAATTAGCAGAGTTCAGGACGCCACAGCACCCATCCTTGGGCACTAACAACTGGGGAGGAGCTTCTCCACTGTTGGCAAGGAACGTACCAAACGAGTCCCTGGAACAGCGCTACCGGCGGATGAACTCCGTTCGGAACGACGGCGAAATCTTCACGGCGGTGCCGGACGACGGCGATGATGACTTCACGAGCTTTTCCAGGAGTGAAGCTTCCAAGTATGTGTATGGAACCCCGAGCCGGCGAGGATTGTCGCTGGTGAGGAAGCTGGCCCGGAGGGCGCAGTGGAAGAAGACGACGGCGACTGTGACGTTGAGTTCTACGCCGGCGAAGCGGAGGAAATGGTTTGGGAGATGGGACCCCAAGAATCGATGGCCTCAAGGTTGGTGTTGAATATTGATGTGAAGTTGAACTTGTGAAGTGAGTCGGTCCAATTGTACTCGGATCCATCTTGTAAGATGAACAATAATAGACGTTCATTTTTCGTTGATTGTAATTTAATTTGTAATGAACAAGACACATTATATTTACTTTAGTTCATGTACAAAATCAATAGTCAATGTACAGAATTATATAACATAAGACATAAAAATGCATAGTATAAGACACAAAAACGCATGATATAAAAACACATTTTATATTTACTTTATTTTAGATACAGAATTGATACTCTTAAGGTATGAAATTATATAACATTAGACACAAAAAACGCATATCACAAAACACATATACATACTTTACAATAAAAAAACATGTAACGTGAATTGAATCACAAACTGTCAGCATTAGTATTAAAATTCAAAATTATATCATTTCGGACCAGAATTCATAGTGACATAACGCACTGTGGACTCTGATCCACGGTATAACGATGGCATCTTATACACTTAGGAAAACTAAAACGATATGCAAACAAACACATTTTTTTTCATCAAATTTACTCCTTATCCATTTTGTGGACCATGGTCCACACAATGTTGTATGGATCATAATAAAATGTACATTATTTTTATACTGAAAATACATTATAAAGTACATTATTTTTATATTGAATGTACATTATTTTTGTAGTGAATGTACATTATTTTACAGTATACAAAATATGGTCTACATAGTGTGGACCACAATAATAATTGCATTTTTTTTTATATTGGGTGGCTTTAGAGAAATAAAATGCAATGCTACGTGGGCTTTCATTTACAGCCCAATAACGAACACTGGATTTCCCCAATCGGGCCTTAGCCCAAAGCAATGGGCCTCTACGTACGGATTTATCCCATTCCCCGCCTCTCGCGGGACCCACTGCCACGCGAAACTCGGTCCATCTCAAGTCCAAGGTTCGGTGTTTCGGTGGGTACTAGAACATCGTTATAAGCCGCCAAAGCACAACCTTCCAGATGTTTGTTAAAATTCCCAACTGAAAGTTTCTCGGGAGAGAGCTTTCTTCCCGTTGCATTTGGAGCCGCATATGCTCAATGATGCGACATGAGTTTATCGAAGTCGATGGCTATTCAATCCGCCAAGCGCTTCTTCAACAACATAGGTCGGTGGTTTTCTGTCTGTTCTTCATGCTTTTTTGCTTTTATCCATGAATGTTTCAATCCGGTTTCTCAGGTTTTTTTGTTCTCGCAAATGTAGCATTCCATCATGTTTAGCGCTGCTATTTTGCTGGCATGTAGAAAAAGATTGGATCTTTGCTGTCTGATAGTGTTGTTTGAGAGTTACTGAACTTGAATCAAATGTATCAATTTTTCTGGGTTGTTGTGTTGGCTGTCAAAAATAATTGGCAAAGAAAGATGATTACTTCCAAAACACCCCCTCTGTTGCACATGCTGAGAATAAAGTGTTGATGATCTTTTGGCCTTCTTGATTTTAGCCGGTGTGCTATGGGCAACCTAGACAGGTTACCTCCTTGAGGCCCTCTACCGGCTAGGGTCACAAGGCAGTTTATTTGGGCCTTCTTAGTTTCAAACGGTCAGCTATGGGACAACCTAAACTCGTTTACCTCCTAATAGTATTTTGCGGGGTTGGATTACAATGCCAGATTTATCTGATGCATACCCTCTGATAGTGGCTGCTGGTTTTACTCGTCACCCAACAAAAAGAAAGAATATGACTACGTTTGGCAAACCTAAGTGAAATGTTAGCTGAAAGCTATAAACTAGAAGCTGAAACTGAAGAGCTGTTAAAGAAGCTGATTATGCTCAAAGTGTTTGGTAAGAGGATGAATAAAAATATAGGAGAAGAGAAAATGTCAAAAAGAGTTTTAATTGGGAGGGGTAAATGATCTGAAAGTTAGGAGCTATTAGCTTATTTTTGAAACGCTACCTTAAGATAATCTTTCAAAATAAGCTCTTATTTTAAGCTACTAACTTATTTTGGAACATTACCAAACAGTAGCTTTATTAGTAGCTTAAAATAAGCTATGAGCACCTAAATAAGCTCTACCAAACAGAGCCTATATATTGTGTACTCTCTGGTTAGCACAATCTGTCTTTTAATTTTTGTTCATCTGGTTTTTTTTTCATTGTTTGCAGATACCAGTATTCGGTTAATAAGGAAACGGGAGCCTTACCAGAATATCATCAGCAATGTGCTTAGAAGATGTCAGTCACACTGGTCAAATAAGGAGAAGATAGGAAGTGATGGGATAGGCGGAGAGAATGAAGCATCCAAACTGCCAGCAACACCTAAAAGCGGGATCGCTGACCTGGACTCTAGGCGCAACAATTACGATCTTAACAGGGATAATTTTACCAGTAGCAAATGGAAATTCGAAACTGTTTGGCTTTCTAAAGCTCTTGAATCTGCGTTTCAACTATGTAGGTGGGCTTTACCTTCAGGTCTGTTTAAAATGGGGGTTACTTCTACAATATGTGAAGACCCATTTATTGTGTGAGATGAGATTCGTGGATAAAGTTATTCTCTTTTGAATTTATGGTGGAAACATGATTACATTTTACACAATAAGTGAATGAATGCTGCTTCTTTAGAAGTCAAAAATCAGTTTTGAAAACCTTATTTGAGGATGTTTATTATTCTTTCCTTAACCCAAATGCTAACGAAAATCATTTTTTTGTTTTTGGGTTGTCAGGGAATGGAATTGGAGATCGACCCCCGCCTATCAACAGGTCTCTTGCAGAGATCTATGCAAGTATTCAACGGAGTAAACTGGGACTTCAGGACTGGAGTCTTAGCGATCTTACGATAGGCCTTTATCTTATATATCTCCAGCAAGCATCCATCAGTCCCGAGGATATTAAGGGTGAACTGATATCTTCTGAATCAGTCGTAATTTCAAATTCCTTGCCATCTTTTCGTTTTATTCTTTTTGGCCCGGGAAGTGATTCAATAGTAAACTGAATCAGATCATGTTTTTTTTTTTTCGAGTTAGGTCCATGATCTCATGTACCACACTGAACTATCAAAGGGCTCGTACCGAGATAGTACTCGTGGTCTTGCAAGGAACAGTATGCTTCGAGAAAGCGATGTTGTGAAATTCGTTAAGATTTCGAGCATGTTAAGGCCCGGATATTACATTGCGGTTGACAAGAGGAAAAGACTCGTCATACTTGGAATACGCGGAACGCATACAGTTTATGATATAATTACCGACATTGTTTCTTCGAGCAATGAAGAAGTAACGTTTGAAGGCTTTTCGACGCATTTTGGGAGTGCCGAGGCTGCTCGGTGGTTTCTCACTCACGAGATGGAAACGCTAAGGAAATGCCTGCAGAAACACGAGGTGAGGTGTTGCAACTATCACTTTTTGTTGAAGAAATGATATTTTTCTTTTAAAGTAAGACGAAATAGTCTCGCTTTTGCGTTTTATTTCTTTGCATAACTTATTACTGAGACTAATCTATATACAGGGATTTAGGTTAAGGCTGGTCGGTCATTCTCTTGGAGGCGCAATAGCATCGTTGTTGGCAATAATGATCCGTAAGAAGTCGGCCCAGGAGCTCGGCTTCGATCCTGAGATTGTAACGGCGGTTGGAATTGCGACCCCACCTTGTGTCTCCCGAGATCTTGCTGAAAAGTGCTCCGATTATGTTGTAACAGTGGTAATGCAGGTCAGTAAATGTGTCTTATTGAGGTTGTTTTTTCTAGAACCCCTATGTTAATTAATCGATGTTCTTATGCAACACGTGTTAATCCATACTTTGACCTTTATTACAACTTACGATACATTGGATGCAGGATGACATTATTCCGAGGTTAAGCGTTGCTTCTCTCATAAGACTGAGGAACGAAATTATTCAGACGGACTGGTAAGGAAAAATTACGCTTTAGGGGCATTTTTTTTTTTTTTTTTGAGTACTACTGACTCTGTTACAATGTAGTATCTGTTCATAACTACTTTCTCAACCTACTGAAGCACTGTGTTTACGGTTTTTGCAGTCTCTTCTCTTATTCTCGTCAATGTCATTAGACGCGTAAAGCACGCCCGTAAATTGCTGACAAATTATTGGCTTCCCTTAACTTCGTTTTGTGTAGGATGAGTGTTTTCGAGAAGGGAGATTGGAAAGGCGTCGTAGATTTATTTACGAACGCAAAGCAGGTTGTATCGTCCATCCAGGACGTAGCTCAGAAGCTAACCGAGTATGCCAAGTCCCGAGGCCAAACAACATACTACCCTGGTTTGTCTCCACAACATTCCAAGATTACTCTATGATTACATTAAAAATATGTCTCAAACTCGGGAATCATTAATTTTTGTCGTGTCAGATGTTCTCCCGAGAAAGGAAGTTAATACTGTTTCAGGCACCCGACCAACCTCCGGGTCAGCAAGCAACACGGCTTCTCGATCTAAACCGCACAAAGACGCTCCCGGTGGAGTAGATGAGGAATTGCTAGTACCCGGGACCGTGTATTATTTAAAGAGGAATACTGATCAGGCGATGGAGTTCTTTACGCTGTGGAAGCGACACCCGGGCGAGCATTTCCAGAGGATACTGCTCTCCAGCAACGTAATCTCGGACCACAAATGCGACAGCCATAACTACGCATTGCGGGATGTTCTCAAAGGTATCCCTACTTCATCCGATGAAGCCATTTTCAGATGATCAAGTGTCCAAGGTTGTCTGATCTTCACCTCTGCTGCTGTCCATATCTTCGTTCAATAATGAATATATACCGACACAAATTAAGTTATTTTCGGTTTTAGTTCCCGACTATGATGATATTTTCATATTGTATCTCGGTCGGTCTTCGATCATTTGCCTAGAAATTGCTTGCCTATTTGTTAATGTTACATTTCAAAAAAGTGCTAGTGGCCAAGGGAAATTGTCAAGAACTCAAAACGACAACTTGGTATACAAAATATGTGTAACAGCTGGGACACAAAGGTTAGGGCCTAGGGGCCAATGTTTCTAAGAAGACAAAGGTGTAACTTTCATGGCCTTAGTCTTGGTCAAGGAACAATTCAAAGATCAACTTGTATTTTACACCCTAATTTCTAGCTATTAGTGGCTAATATAATGAGGATGACAACTAGCACAATGACATTAGCCCAATTGATGGATCTCAGCGTTACATTATGCTTATTTTTCAGTAGGTCACCTATTCTGTGACTACACTATGCTTATTTTTCAGTGGGTCACCTATTCTGTGACTACTTTAAATTAAGTACGTTTAACTATAGAGCTCTACGTTTAACTATAGAGTTCTTTGGTGATAAGTAAGTGGATATTAACCATTTAACCACATTCTTTCATGGTAAGTCATAATGTTACGTCTCGAATTAAGCAGAGGTAACTTGACCAACCCAGTCGACACCCAACAAGTCGGAATTAGATTATTTAACGCATTGTCATTCTTACTTGTGACCAACTTCTACTTGATTTGATTTTTTAAAATAATATTCAAAGTACAATAATGGAGTCCAAAGTGTAGTTCTAAACACAAATTAAAACACCAAGTCTTTTCCTTAATCGACAAACATCAAAAGCATACCTCTCATGATTTCTGTTAACCCATGTGTTGAAATGACCTCATACATAAATGCATACATTATAAATATATTTATGAATAATCCTCAATTATCAATTATCAATGATCCTTATATTAAGGTTTGGACTTTGAATAATTGCCTGCCGTTCAAACTACATCTTAACGTAATACAAACTGCTAAACGGCTCTAATCGACAATACTTTTGTGTTACTTGAAAATGAAAGGTTTTCTTGCTTCTTTATTTTGTCCTGAGATTAAAATGTATTGGACCGACATTATTCACGAGTTCCATCTTACTTGTTTGGTATTATTATGTGATTAGTAACTTTGACGAAAATTTTGTCTATATTTTATGAGTTAATTAGAAGCTAAGTTTGAAGTGCTCTATAATCTCATTGCAATATAATTATTACCTGTCTTGAAAAATTTATGGTTACGAGGTTTGAATTTGAGATTCATCATCCGGATTATGAGATGAATTTAGTGGTGTGTCACAAAATTAAAGTTAGAAGATGACTAAATCAGACCGTAGAAACTTGACATAATATATAATTTAATAATAGAGTTCACTTACCCTAAAACTCTTTTCTTGAGCATGGAATAATGAAGGTATATATATCCAATGTTGAATTTGATAAAATATAATGGTCGGTGTATAGTGATGTGCTAGCTACAATATAATTAGCATTACTCACCACTTTAACTGAGTATATATATTACTCTGAGAAAAATGGAGAAAATAGGGAAAACAAGTAAGGGTAGAACATGAGAGAGAGAGAGAGAAAGATAAAGAAAGATCGAGAATAGAGTATTGTAATTGCATACTAAGTATTTTGCTATTTTGCCACATCACTCTATCGGTATTAGATATACAATTATTGTAATGAAACTAAATAAAAGTTGTCATCCCGTGGTCTTCCTGATCTTGACTTCTCATGTCCGCATTGTATTCTTCTTCACGTACAGATTGTTTATTTTTCATATGTGATTCATCTACCGATATATTATATAGTAAAAACAATATTGATTTTCGTCATCATAACTTGCATTGAATTGTACATGAATCTCTGAAAAGTTGAACAAGTTCAGTTGGCAACAAGTCTAAATGATTAGAAATTTGAGAATTATAAAATTCAAGTAAATACAAAGGAAAATGAGGAAAATAGACCCCAATTTTGTCGACGGTAAAGGTCACGGCCTCACGTGGATGAGGTGCCTAAGCCGGGCCCAATGGGCCCAAGAAAAATAATAGTGGTATACGTGCGTAATCCCATGGAATTTTTTATTTTTTATTTATATTATTACGGAAGGGGAAACCCAGAAAGAGAAAGCACAAAGAATAATGATCCTTAGATCGTCTGCTTATACACATGTATTATTAAGCGTTTCCAAACGCACTGTTGTAATTATAAAAATGTCATCACATTTTTTTTTAACTCTTAATAATTCTAGATGAACGAATATAGTAATGAGATTAGTCTGTATGTTCCCAAATCACAATGAGTTACTAGTTCTCATGGAAGTGTACATATTTCGTGTACTTCACATTGCATTATATATATATATATATATATATATATATATATATATATATATATATATTAAACTATTTATATATTTATTATGAGTTGGTGCACGATAGCTAAGCTAGCTTGGTAGGAGTAAAATAAAGAAACATGCCTAGCACTTAGTCAACAATTATGATGCCACATAGACAAATGAGGAACATGATTAGTAAATGCCAATTCATATGTTTACCAAAGTGGTTTACTGTTAAGGTGGAGATCCCAACATAAATTGTTGTAATGTAATATATACATATGGATGTATGCATATCCACTGATAATGTTCTGATTCACTACTATGGATCATACATTTTATAATATCCTTCGTGGAGTATGATGAATCTTTGCACTTTTGTTCCTTGAATCTTTAATTAGTTAAATTACATCTATAAAATATATTATTTATGTATATTCCATAGGCAACATGTACAAGGACGTGACTTTGAGTTAGTTTACGATTATAAGGATTAGTTTATACACATAGGGATTGGTGAAACGATTTTAGTATTTTGTTAGTGATGTAAAAGATTAAAAAAAATTACTGACACCATTTTTTATCGTAATCAATTTGTTGCACTGTCCTTTGAGTGTGTGTTTTTACTAGCTTTTTCAGTGTGATTTTTTAAGTTTATATATTGTACACTTTAATTTTAAAGAGTGATGGTATGTTTCTCTCGTTATCAATAAAAGTTAAATAAAATTCACTTAGTCATTATTGGGTTATAATTTGAGTTATGAGGATGCAGGAAAGGTCAAGTTTAAAATCATGTCATCGAAACGTAGCAACATTTCTTTTTATCCTGCTGAACATATCTAGTTATGATTTGACCATTTTTGTTTTAGGGTTTTTATTTCATTTGTCATTTTGGCATTGTTGTTTTGCAGGTGGGTATGCCCCGTGTTATTTGTTATTCTTTTGATCTTAATATATTTTGACCCTGTTTGGTAAAATAGTTAGTTTATCAATTAATTTTAACTTTTTTGATCAGTATTAGTTGTTTGACTTGGTTAAACAACCAATATGAGTGTTTGATTAATTATCTTTTTTTTTGTAACAGTTTATTGCTCTAAAACACTAACATTCAAAAATCTGTTCAAAATAGTTTTTTCGATCAATTTTTTGAGAAAGTCATTTTGTATGTAATCAGCTATCAGTTAACAGCTAATTTACCAAACATCTTTCTACAATCAGCTTGCTATCAACTAGTCAAACGCACTAACACAATCTTCTAACAGCTATCAGCAACTATTTACCAAACACCCCCTTTACTTTTTGTTCCAAAAAAAAAAAAAAAAAGTAGCGTTATTTGCTATGCAAGTATAACCAAATAAAGTTGTGAATTCGTTATTAGTTATATACAAATTTTTTCTTTGTCTAATCTTGATATTTTATAATATCGTTTTTGGGTGTGTGTGTGTGTATATATATGGTGCATCTTTGCTCTTTTGTTCCTTGAATGCATGACTGCATGCACCTAAGGAATATGTTCCTTAGACAAAATTTACATGATTTCGGGTCTAGTTTAAATAGTGTTGGATTGAAAATTACGATTATGTAAATTGATCCTTACATGATAATCAGTAGTAATATTTTTTATATTTGATTATTAATCCCCATATAATTAGTTATAATAATTTAAATAATGAGTTGGTGTTAAGTATTTGTCTAAGGTAGACAGCAATTAGGGTTGTCTAATTATATAATCAGTGTGGGAGCTCTTCAGGTGGACTGCAAAAAGCCAAGTAGCTGGCCAAAAAGCTAGAGTGTTTAAAAATTAAAAGTACTTTAAACAAAGATTAAATTCAAAGCATTTAATTAATTATATTTGTGATATAATTAACTGATTCGCGATTAACTAATAAATATAAAGTATAATAACAGTTTATAATAATATTATGATGGGATGGTTATAAATCATGACCATGCACCTTTTGACCATAAGAAATAATAATAGTTGTTCAAATGGGCTTAACTCAATGATTCAGTAGACAGTATTTGAGAGAAGAGATTAATGTCGTTTAAATTTTGACGGCGACAATATGAAAATTATGCTTAAAGTGGACAGTTCTCTTGTGTGCATTTCCATTTGGTATTGTCATCCTCACAAATGATCTGTTAAGTAATAGTAGGAGAAATTGAAATTTTTGCTAATCTCTACCTGCTTCTAGTGCAGTACGTAGATAAAAGTGCTCTAAAATAAAATATTTTAAATAATAGTTCTTTTTATTACTCAAGAGAAAAATAACTTCTGTTTAATAACACGTAAATCACACATGAGAGATAAATTTCACAAAAAAAGACATTTTATGTCACAAACTCAACTGAGAGGATAATAAGATCGAAGAACCAAACTCATAATCTTCAAGTATGAAAATTATATTCTAACCACAAAAAATGAGTTTTTTTGTGCAATAATTATATCTTTTAATTTAACATGAGAACAAATAAAAATAAATTCTTAATAATTTTACATATTATCCTCGGTGAAGGTAGTTTTAATATAAAAGATCTTCAAAATAATATAAATCGAAGTCAGATCAAGAAGATAAGTAGTACAGTACGTTATGCACATCACGAGAAAGCTCCGGAAATGACACCCTAAGCTAGAGGCTATACATATTAGGGGTTTCCTTAAGTCCAACTTTTCTTTAAAAAAAAAAATAATCAAAACCCAATAAGTAAGAAAATTTTAAAACCAACAAAAATAATTATAAAAATAAAAATAAAAAAACAAAAAAAATTAATCTAAAATCTTACTTACAATACTAGAAATTATGGAATTTTCAACCACTTTGAAAGTGATCTTAAATTAAATTGAAAGTCTTGTTCCGATCAATTTTGGTATCCGAAAAAATCTTTATTGCTATTTCTGATCACTTTTTGCTTTCGACTTGATTTAAGATCACTTTCAAGTGGTCAGAAATTTCATAATTTTCAGCAGTGTTAACTTTTGTATCATAATTAGTTAATTACTTACCACTACGCTAAAAGTTATGTCTAGTAATAAAAACATAAATCTATTTATTTATACTTTATAATAATTGACGTCACGTTTCAATAGAAGATCCAAGTTAGATGTTGAACTTGACCCTCAAGACTGATGTAAGTGCAACACACTTGGAATGCATGTACAAGAAAATTAATTTATAGTTGAACTTATAATCTTATTATTTGATGGGAAACTTTACAATATATAAAAAATAATAATAGACTAGTATTTGCATCCCACAGAATGAAGGTAAAAACTTGTGTGAGACCGTCTCACGGGTCTCAATCTGTGAGACGGGTCAGATCTTTGATTAATGAGGTCAAATATCCGATCCATTAATCAAAGATCCGACCAGTCTTATGAATTGAGACTCGTGAAACAATCTCACACAAGTGTTACCTATATTAGTTTAATCTAAACGCTTGTTTGCATACTTAAACAATTCAAATCTCTTCCACTCTAGATAATACCCAATTTTTGAATCATAACACCATCCCATCAATTCAATATTATGTGTGCATGCCTGCATGGGTAGCTCAACTGGTCATAGAGGTGAAACTTTGGAAGAATGACCAGGGATCGAGTCTAGGGGTTCCTTGTGCGTAGTGAGCACTGGTTTAGCCTCTGTGGTTCTATCCTTCCAAAATGCTCTGTTGGGCCAGAGCGTGGGGGGCCCTTAGGGTTGGGGTTCTTCCTTTTGGAAGAATATTATGTGCGTGTGTGTGTATATATATATAAAATAGTTTAATTTTAATTTAGTTGAATATATATAACCAATATTATCATGAACTGAAGCAAATGGAAATGGGTTTGGTTTCTGCCAAGTTCCTTTGTCCCTCAAGGGTGTTCAATGGAATCTGAAATTGGACATAAAATACTAAGAATGGAAGGGTTAAGTATTAGTTTATTTATATTACACAAAACAAAACAAATTTGTAGCCCAATAAGGGAACCACCACCAATTAAGTAATGAAGAGAGTATGATCCTTATTATATTTTAATATACATCACAAATTAATTAATCAAAGAAAATACATACACTATGATCAGTCCCCCACATCCAAAAACCCCCATCCTCTTCTACTTATAAACACACTCAAATTCCCCACTTCAACTTAGCAGAAGTTCTTGGAAAATCGATCTCGAATAATTAACTTTGTTCTTCTACCGTTTAATAAATATGACTGGGTCGGGTTCGCCTTGCGGTGCCTGCAAATTCTTGAGGAGAAAATGCGTGAAGGGGTGTGTTTTTGCACCATATTTCTGCCATGAACAAGGAGCTTCACATTTTGCAGCAATTCATAAGGTTTTTGGGGCTAGCAATGTGGCCAAACTTCTTGCTCATCTCCCTGTTAGTGATCGCTGTGAAGCTGCTGTCACCATCTCCTATGAAGCTCAGGCTAGGCTTCAAGATCCCATCTATGGCTGCGTTTCCCATATCTTTGCTCTCCAACAACAGGTCTGTTTGTTTGTTTGTTCGTTTGTTTTCAGCTAACGTTGTTGTCTGGTCCAGTCTAAGCTAGCTCCCACCTAATAAACACTGAGTCAGATTTACTTATCTATTATCCTGTTAGGTTAACTATAGTACTTGGAATTGGATAAGCTTTAATCCCATTCTTAATTATGTTCTGGTTGTATTAATTAATAGAATTACTTGTTTATGAATTATTGGGCATTATTGTCTTGGAATTTGATTATAATGCACATTTACCAACATGGATTGACTTAAATAGCATGCCAACATGGATTTTACTAGGGTGATATTATTGACTATTCTATTCTATAATTATAAGTTTATATAAGGAATTTTTATGGTGTCAGATCAGTCTCCAATCATAAGTTAATATAAAGAATTTTTATGAAGTCAGTCTGCAATTATACACATTGAAAATTTGTTATTTATATGGTATGTATGGTATATTTAATAAAGTTTTAAGGTGTCAGTCACTCGTAATATTTTTTTTTTTTTTTTTTTTATATCGAGTGTATTATGTATGGTATATTGGTATGTCTGGTTGCATATATATTATCTCGTACACTTGAAAATTCATTATTTATATATATGCAGTAGATGGCTTGTCATAGTTAATTATATATACAAATTAGTAATATTCACTTTGTCTTAGATTTTCGTGAACTATAAAAAAAAATAAAATATTTACATTGTTGTTCCCAAAAGGTTGAATCCTTAATCTGATACTGTCGCTGGTGAGACTGAATTCCGGATCATTGTTTTCAAACTTCATCCCATGTGACTAATTAAGCGTCTATGTGTCATTATTGTTCTATTGTCCAAACTAATTTATAGTTCTTTGTTTGTTAGGGTTATAAGACAGAATTTACCTCTACATTTTCGAGTAATAATTACAGTTTTTGAGTAGTAAGATATATGATATATATTTTACCTAAAAGTTTATACTAATAGTGAAACGATATACTTAATATTTTATATATTATATGCTCGAGGGATAATCAATTAAAGATGATTTTCTTGGTTGAGTGCAGGTGGTAGACTTGCAAGAACAGCTGATTTCTCTAAAGAAACTAGCAGCTAATAATCAGAGCAATAACTTGAACGATTCCATGGCTTCTGCAAACCCTAATGATAGATCCAATAACGGAACACCTTGTTACCCATCATCCCTGCAAGACGTTCACAACTGGTTTCACTACTCATCACAAAACCCCACCGCCGCCGCCGTCTGCGGCGGCGCCATGGCCGCCGCCGCCGCAGAGTTTTACCCAGCTGCAAGCTCAAACGCCTGCAGCAATGGCGGAAACCTGCACCCTGCGGCAATTTATTACTCTAATATCAACGAAAACCCTATATATATGGGGAGTAATAATATTGGCAACAATTATAGCTACGCAGATGCTTCTTCTTCGTCGATGGATGATCTTCAGTCTGCAGCGTTGAGATTCCTTCATCATTGATGATTCTTGATCGAGCTTCAGAGGGATATGATATAGATACACACACAGAATTAGGGATTTCATCAGTTTTTCAAGAAATACATCTTTGATAGATATGATGTGATGAAGAATTGAAATTTTGTATTGTTGCAGTAATCTGCAGACTTTAGAATGGAAGGATGATGATGACATGGATTAATTTCTATATGTTTTGCCACAAATGAGATTAGCATATATTAGATCAAACATTTATCAGCCACAAGTTATAACTTTATTTCCTGGGATGAGTTAAATAGACTCTTTAACTATAGGTTAAAATGTAATTAAAAAAGTTTTAATTAGACACCTTAACAACTCATTTTGATGCAATGTAGTCAATAAATTTTTAAATTCGTACAATTAGATCATCAATTTGTAGGTAGGTCAAGGTAATAGAAGGTAAAAAAAAAAATTAGAATAATTTAAAATAAAAAATTAAAGATGAAAGAGAAGTCGATAATTTTCTCAGTCCGGTTAGACTAAAAAGCTAAACAAGCTTTTCCGTTCGATTGAACGAAGAAGCCATAGTTGGCTCCTCCGCCCAACTGGTCGGACCAGGAAACATGGCTGGCTGGCTTCCTTGTCCAGTTGGACAGAGGAGCCAAGTCGACTTCTCTATCCAACTGGGCGCAGAAGTCATGCAAACTTCTCCGTCTAGTTGGACGGAGGAGTCAGGTCAGCTTCTCCGTCCAACTAGACGAAGAAGCCATGGCCGGTGATGAAGGTAATTTTTTTATAAAAAAAAAAAATTATTTAATTTATTTGAATTAAAAATATGTTTTTTTAAATCTTAATTATTTTTTTATTTAAAAAATAAAAAATTTTACCGGTTACTTAAATGTAACATGTTAATTAATCTAATTGCATAAAATTAATGTGTTAAAGTATCTAATTAGAATTTTTTTAATTTAAAGATTTAATTGCACTTTAATTTATAGTTGAATGACCTATTTAACTCTTATCTCCTATTTCTTTATATTTATTAAGCAGTATTTTTTATAGTAAGACATAGACTTAGCACTTCAAACTTTTGCCCAACCTTATACATATACCTAGAAACCCATCCTATTATTAATATAACTATATGAGCTGATAGATCTATCTATCCTAGGGTTTTCCCCAAATTGGTATATATAAAGCCTATGATGACCATAACCAGCCGGCCTATTGTTGTTTTCATGATTGAGGGGTGTAATTACCTTAATTAGCTTGAATACAAAGATGTGTTTTTCACTCTTTTTATTCTTCATTACTACTTTTAGTATGAAGTAGGGTAGAATTAGACCCTATTTGGTAAATGATTGTTAGTTGATAGCTGTTAGCTGATTGGGCTAATTAGAGGGTATAACTAGTTGATAACATTAGCTGATTGTAAAAATGTATTTGGTAAATTAGTTGTTAGCTGATAGTGTTTGGTATAATTTATTTTCTCAAAAAGTTAATTGAAAAAGTTGTTTTGAGCAACCTTTTGAATTTTAGCATTTTGGAGTTACAAAAAACTAATTAACTAAATACTTATATTGATTTTTTAACTAAGTCAAACAATTAATAGTGATCAAATAAGCCAATATTTTTAAAGTAAAGTCTTTACAACATAGTTCAAAAAAGTGATCAACTAACTATTTTACCACACAGGACCTTAACGAGCTATTTTTAAAGTAAAGTCTTTACAACATAGTTCAAAAAAAAAAAAAATGAGTTAGTGATAAAGAATAATTTTTATACAAATTCGATCCTTGTCAATATTTTCATTTTAACCTGTCAGTCGTCTTATATAATTTACAAACTATTAGACACGCACATTCTCGATAATGACAACCTAAGTCTAATCCCTAGGGAATTAAAATGTGTTACTAGCAGGCCGGCCGCCCGACATTTTACATCCATAATTCACACTACATTAATATTAAAGTAATAAAAGTACTGCCAATATATTACCTTATAAGTTAAAATACTGCAATAATTCTCCAAGCTTTTGCAGCCATTGTTGATTGCTTCCATCAGTTTCATGTATACAGTATATGAACACTCTTTTTTCGATGCTAAAAAGGTTAAAAAGATGTCATACATTGTACTTCCTTCAATATATATTATTCCTCCTTAACCTTACGTGGAAGCTTCTTAGAATCAAACATGTCAATATGTCATTAATAATGTATTCGAGTCGACATTCAAATTCTTTATTTAAATTGATTGAGATCGAATTTTATCATTACATTATATAATTGTGAGTTTTATATTACAATTTTTTTTGATAAATTTAACATTTTATTAAATTGTTAGCTATTTCACTCCTATGTAATACTCTGCACTAAAAAGACTCTGTGTGATAGATATTAAATTATTGGCTGTTTTGTAAAAATTCTGTGTGACGGATTTGACTGAAAGGGTGGTAGCAAGAATCGAACTGGTAACCTTCCTGTACAAGAATCGAACTCATGAACTTCTTAAAGTCATATTTTGTGTTCGATGTGTGATATGCAATGTAACACTATGTGAAATTAAATTTAACCATGCATCAATCAATTGCTATATGTGCTTGAATTGAAGCAAAATCTTAATTCATATATATATATTATATACACTGTTCTATATAATCTCGATATGTATTATAGAAAAGTTTTGTATTAAAAAATAAAAAGAAGAAAAAGGGTTATATCTAAAAACATAATAAGTGTGAATGAAAGTTATACTCCTGATTTATGTCCGTTTTTTTCGTTAAGTTTTTTGTACATTATGCTATAAAGATTGTACATTAAAATATTTTGGACAAACATACCCCTACCGTTATAACTTTCGTTATCTTTTCCACTATTGTTACCATGCACATGAATTCACCATATATTTTCTTATCTTCTTCATTAATAATAATAGATACACATTAAATATTTGAGTTATATGTTAATTATTACATAAATATAAATATCAAATTTATAAAAATGATTTACATTATTATTATTATTATTATTATTATTATTATTATTATTATTATTATTATTATTATTATTATTATTATTATTTAGAATAACTTAAATATCTAAAATTTAAATAAATTTAAAATTAAATATAATGTATTAATATTGGGCACCGATTTTTTGCGCATCGCGTGTCAACACGTGCCACTCAACACTCAAAGAGCCAAGCCAAGGAGGCAGTTAATTCAGTTGAACCTGATTAGACCTTGGCAGTTAGTTGTTGAGCTTTCCCTCCTTTTTCCTTACTTGTATATAAGGCTGCAAGCCTTCTTCTGTAAAGACTGATTTTTCCAAAGTAATGATCCATCCTCCTTTCTCCATATTTCAGCATATTGCATTTTTCCTTCTCTCACTTTCTTCTCTGAATTCCATCATGGTATCAGAGTCATGAGATCATGGCCTGGCAAACACCACTGGTAAACACAATTCGTTCCCAAATGGCAGCAACCAATCCAACAGTAACCGTTCCAGCAACAACCAATCCAGTAGGACCTCCTCCGGGCTTTGCAACTTATGATCCAAGAGACAGAACTGATCCTCTCTATCTTCACCCCAATGAGAGTCCTTCACTGCAGCTTGTGACTGCTCAGTTGGAAGGTAGATCCAATTACCATCCATAGGCAAGGGCCATGGAAATGGCATTGAGGTCGAAGAACAAGATGGGCTTAGTTGATGGAACCCTAGCAATTCCCAGTAAATCAGATCCCAGATATTTCTACTGGGATCAATGCAACACTATGGTCTTATCATGGATTCTTAGAGCTGTTTCTCCCACCATTGGACGGAGTGTGCTGTGGATCAGCACTGCTGAGGGTGTATGGAAGGATTTGAAGAAGCGTTTTAGCCAACAAGATGTCTTTCGTATTGCAGAAATCTAATCTGAAATCTATAAAACAAAGCAAGGTACATCCTCTGTGAATGACTATTTCACTCAATTAAAGTTGTTGTGGGATGAATTATTTGTGTTAAGGCCAGTACCCTCCTGTGAATGCTCATCAAGATGTGAATGTGGTAATAAGATTTCTGAGAAAATCAGGGCACAATTAGAGAATGACATGCTATCATCTTTTCTCATTGGCCTAAATGATAACTTTGGCAACACTAAGAGGCAGATTATGTTGATGAAACCATTGCCTGATGTTGGAGAAGCATTCTCTATGGTTTCCCAACAAGAAAGGCAGATCACTGTGGAATCTAGTATTCTGGATGAAAATCTAACAGGGGCAGGGGTCTTCTTCACAAAATATGAAGGCAAGAAGTCTTATCCAAATCAGAAACAGAAACCAGTGTGCAGCTTCTGTGGATACACTGGTCACACCATCGAGAAATGCTACAAAAAGCATGGGTATCCTCCCGGTTGGAAGCCAAGAAACAAGGGAATGGGAGCTGTTAATCAGGTTCAATCCAATCTGCAAGAACCTGGCAAATCAGAGACTGATCAGTCTCTTTTTAACCAAGAAGACTATAAGAGGTTCTTGGAATTCAAGAAGCAAAGTGAAGCCATCAGCTCTCCTCTCCAAACTGCTCCTCAAGTTAATGCCATAGCTGCCAACTTTATTCCAAATGCTGCACTAGAAGGTAAAACTATCAACTCTAACAATGAGCTGAGAAATTCAGAATCCATATGGATCCTGGACAGTGGTGCCACACACCACATTGTATGCAAGTTAAGTCTACTGAAAAATCCCAAGGAAGTTCAAGGAATACATGTTGACTTACCAAATGGACACCAAGCTCAAGTTTCCCACATTGGGACTGTTCAACTGTCAACAGACTTAGTTCTAGTCAATGTTCTGTGTGTATCTATCTTTCAATATAATCTGATATCCATGGGTGAACTTACAAGAAGATCCAATTGCAGCATCCTATTCCACTCTAATCAATGTGTTATACAGGATCAACTCCATGGGAAGATGATTGGCATAGCTGAGTTAAAGAAAGGGCTCTATCAGCTTACTCTCCCAGATTTCCTCTTTTGTAAACCTGCTGTAAATAGCTGCAATTTTTGGCATGCTAGGCTTGGACATACTTCTGAAAATAAGATTAGAATTCTACAATCAATTGACAATAAAATTTGTAATGACAAGCCCAATGTATGTGATTGTTGTCATTTTGCCAAACAAAAAAGATTGCCTTTTAAGCCTAGCTCTACAGTTTCTGCTAATTGTTTTGATTTGGTGCATGCTGACATTTGGGGTCCATACCAAA